AGATCGAAAACGCTGCAAAGCAACAAGGGTTGTCTGTCTATCACCGCCGGTTAGTACAGCAAGCTGAACCAGGATCATCCGCTTGGGATGGTACCTCGCGCGTCATTGTGATTGCCGAGTTGGAAGAGCTGATCTGGCCAACTATCGAAGAGCCTGCCTATCTCGAGTTCCAGAAAATGGTGCGCGAGGTCAGCAGCATTCTCTGGGTCACTCAAGGTGGTTTGATGGAAGGCCAGCATCCAGAGGCCGCTATCGTCAACGGCTTCTTGCAGTGTCTCGACCTCAAGCCCGATCTGACAGCCAGGTCCATGGACTTTGAGTTGTCAGCACCGCGAGACTTGAAGATGGCTCGGGAGATCATCCGCCGTGAGAGCATTATGCATGTGTCAAAGGATATGCAGTTCCGCCAGCACAATGGACGCTGGTTGATCCCGCGACTTCTACCAGATCAACGCCTAACCGACGACTTTTCACGTTCCCAAGGGGACGACGCTTCGATCGTGCAGAAACCACTGAAGGATCTCGGTCCTTTACAAGTAACCACAACCGATGCAGGTCGGCTTAGTGCCCTTGTGTTCAAGCCAGACGAGGAGCTCAGTGGAGCGCTAGAGCCTGGCTACGTTGAAGTCCAGGTCAAAGCGTACGGAATGAACTACGTGGTAAGTAATCCTTGATCCATCTTGCAGAAGACGACATTGAACTAACGGAATACAGGAACTGAGCGCATTGGCTGGTGGTTATGACACCGATAAGTTGAGCTCTGAGTTCTCTGGAGTCGTCACTCGTGTGGCCTCGGATGTAAAGAGCCTTGGGGTAGGCGATCGAGTGTTTGCCATGTGGCCTGGCAAGTTCGGAAACGTCGCTCGTCTCCCTCACTATGCTTGCCAGATTGCCCCGTCAACTCGAGACAGTTTTGAGGCGCTGGCCACTCTTCCGTCGGCCTACTGTACTGCGTGGTACGCACTTGTCAATGTTGCGCACGTGCAACCAGGCGAGACTGTCTTCATCCAGAGCGCGACCGGAGGCTTTGGACTGGCGGCTATCCAAGTTGCCCGCATGCACGGCGCAGAGGTATTCGTAACGGCTGGTACCCAGACCAAGCGGGACATGTTGCGCGACCAGATCGGTATCCCCGCAGATCACATCTTCCCGTCCCGTGATGTAGCTGTCTATGCGACCCTCAAGGCCGCAACAGCTGATCGCGGAGGTTTCGACATCGTCCTCAACACTTCTCAAGGAGACTATCTTCACCAAGTTACCTGGCCTCTTGTCGCTCCTTTCGGACGTTTTGTTGAGCTCAAAAAGGCTGACATCGTCGACAATGGCTCATTGAGCCTGCAGAAGTTTGCCCAGGGAGTTACCTTTACTGCGGTAGACCTTCACTTCATCTCGGCCACGCGCCACAAGGTTCTGACCGATGTCCTTGCCCTGATCGGAGACAAGTACCGAGCTGGAGAGATAAGACCTCTGTCTTGGAAGTCTTATCCTGCATCCAACATTGGCGGCGCGTACGCAGACTTCTCACGCTTTGAGCATGTCGGCAAGCTTGTTCTCTCATTCGGAGACGAAGACGTTGTTCCATATCTCCATGTGCCCCCGAAGCCAAGATTTGATCCAGGAGCCGCGTACCTGGTGATTGGTGGCCTGAGTGGCATCGGCGCGTTCTTGAGTAAGTGGATGGTGCAGCAGGGCGCAAAGACGATGGTGTTCATGAGCCGTTCTCCCCTATCCGGCGACACAGCTGAGAACGCGGAGCAACTCAAGGAAATGGGTGCTACAGTCATTCACGTGCAGGGCTCTGTCGCCAATGAGAGCGACGTGTATCGTGCTCTGACGATATCTGGGCAACCGATCCGCGGCATAATCAACTCGGCTCTGGTCCTGCGTAACATGGAATTCGATAAACTGAGCTGTTCTGAGGCTCGCGAGACATTCTCTCCCAAGATCCAGGGCAACTACAATCTGCATCGATTGAGTCGGAAGCTTGGCTACGGCTTGGACTTTTTTATCCTTCTGGCTTCGTTGACTTCCATCTGTCGGGCCGCTACACAGGCCTCGTACTCGGCAGCCAACTGCTTCATGGATGAGTTTTGTCGCTTCCGACATCGCCAGGGCCTGCCCTGCACGACCGTGAGTCTCGGTGTCGTCGGCGATGTTGGTTTCATGGGTCGCAACCAGGGCAATATGCAGCATCTTATTCGCAACGGCCATTACGTGACAGTTGGTCGTGAGCTCATGGAGTTGTTTGAGACGGCTCTCTTCCGTCGCGACGATGTTGGCGCCTGGAAGACAGATGAGATCCTCGCCTTGGGCACTGAACCGACCAAACTCCGCGAGCTTCTCGACAAGGGATCAGTTCCAGTGCCTCTTTGGGAACGAGACGCACGCTGGAGCATCATTGGCACGCATGCCTTGCGCAGCAACCGAGGCGCTGGTGGTAGCACATCTGGACCTGGCAAGTTGCAGAGCGGTGACATCAAGGACATAGTGGCCGATCGTCTGAGTCGCCTGTTGTGGATCCCCGTCGAGAAGCTCAACCTGGATACTAGCTTGAACGCGATGGGAATTGACAGTATGATTGCGAGTGAGTTCCGACATTGGATGTATCAGACATTCAAGACGAATGTTAGTATGATGGAGCTTTTGGCTCAGGACATGACAGTGGAGAAGCTTTCTGGACTGCTTCAGAAGGCGTGAGAACCACGCTACGAATGCTGCAAGAATTCTATGTATCAAGTAAAATGTTAGAATCGATTTTGTTTGAAGCAATGCTGGTCCGGGCTACAACACGCTTCTGAGAGGCCGTCTAAGAATTTACAGGTACAGTGTAGTATTCAGCACATTTCATGCATTCCGAGACTGTGGCGTTGTCAGGAAAAAAGACCTTTGGTAGTGGCCGAAGCTTCGCTTGGTGAAACACACAACTGAGGGCGGCTAATGCTCCAAGCTTGAACCCTGAATGCCATCTCATCCCGCCCACAACGCAGTAAAGTTTCCCACCTCGTTTGAGACGATTTGCTAGTGGCGAGTTCAGCTATAGTAGTTAAGGCGGGAAGCGAAAGACGGGACCTGGAACCAGATGCGTCTAGACCGTAAGAGTCTGGCATACACCAGACAAGCTCAACCTTGTTAACGAGCTTTTCTCGTCTCGCCTTGTCTTGTGAAGAAGGCTTTTGCTCAACGATAATCCCGATAATCCCTTGTGGAGTTTTATGAGTTCAGTTCCGAAGCCGAGGACTCGGACTCCGGTCTCCATTAATACTTTATTCAGTCGATATTGGTTTGTTGGCTCTAGACATGACGCCTGCACGACATTGCAATTGCGGGGTTCATTGAGTTACGGGTAGAGAGGGAGGTGTTTAGTTCACGATGGTCAAAGGCTATTGATTCATGATGACAGAACAAGACCTCATGCTTGGCTTACTCTGCATGTCGAGCTAGAGCCAGAACGAGAGATGGTCAGGTCCCGCCCCTGGTCTGGGCTGACTCTAGCTGTCTAGCTCTGACCTGTCTGGAGTCTCTGGACCTGCCCCTTGGTCCAAGCAGAAAACTAGGCTTGGCTGAATTCCCCAAAATGGTTCGAGTATTGAAAGTCTCCCGACGCCTTCGAGTCCTCCCTCAGTCGGTGCGGCTGAGGAGACGAGCTTGGGTTGCCATCCACAAGTTGAGGGACAATTCGTTGTCAGACTGGAACTGAGAGTGATGAAGAAATAATTGTCGTATCTACACGACAGTCAGGGATCGTAGCTGTAGATGATCCTTGCTGTTGGAGATACAGTAGATAATCTGGCATATCCTAGTGGAGCTGAAGAAAATGGATCTAAAATCTGCCTAACAAAGACAAGACCCGTGGAGTAATGGAGGCCCTGTTTTAATTCCCGAAATTTCGGGACGTCACAGATTAAACACAATTTCGTTGACCTTGAAAGAGATTACGCCACTTTCTCTTCAAGATTGCCTGCTCGAGTTTGCCCGGGACGACCGGCTGAAAGGGCGATGATCATTCATCATCATTGATTCTGTTCGTGGTGTTTGTGTGACTGTCGATGCATCATGCAGTGCACACACACCATCTTCTCTCTACTGTACTTGTATTGCGCAGCTCAAGGTATTGACTAGCTAGCTTCGGTGGACGGTGTTCGAGATGCTCCGATACATCGGATCGGAGAGTCCAATGGGCTAACAAACGGTGTGCTGTACGATACATACTTTTCTGTCTCATACCAGGTTCTTGGGTTCGGGACTAAATCGACAGTTTTTGCTTTTTCATCACTACCTAAGCAATGATCGTTTATGGGCTCAATCCTCTTTGTACATATGGAGCGGTATGCAGTGCTCTACAACAAACAAGACAAACCACGTCAAGAGCCAGCTCATAGCCTCTAGGCTCTAGTGAATAGGCGAGCTGCCTGCAGGGATCTACAACCAGCTCAAAGACGACAACAAATCAATGAGAAAAAAGGACGCTAATGCGGTGGCTTGATAGTGTCTTACCTCTTGGGTTTGGCCTTGGCTTGAATTCAAATTCCGACCGTCGGGGCCCTGTCTTGCCGGGTTCAAGGGTTCACCCTGTTGGGCAAGGCTAGGCTGGGTGCGTTGTGACAGTTGAGAGCAGCGCAGAGCAGAGTAGAGAAGATCCAATATTAACATGGCCCTATGCCCCCTCCCCTGGGTGAGGTCTGAGATCTTTCGTCTTGTCTTGAATCTTCTGGAGATCTCTTACGTAGACCCGTCATGGAACCCTGCGCCTGACGTCTTTTCCCCCTTCGATATGGCCGTATCACTTGAGTTGTGATGGGGTTTCTATTTTATTCTACGCGCTCGTAAAAGAAACGACAGGGACCTTTTTTTCTAAACAGTGCAGGGGGATTTAACGAACAAAGACTCATTCACCTGCAACATCCCGACGACGCGGCTCGTTGCAGATTTGTTGAACTGCTTTTGATCGTCGATATTTTTGGCATTCTGGCCAGAAGCATATGATATACAACTCCCTCACTATGCCGTCTATACAGGTGAACTCTCGACAGAGTTCCCTGCGGTTCAGCGCTTTTGTGAATGGGAGAATGGATCATCATCCGACTGTGAAGCGGTGGGATGGAGCTGCGAGAACGTGCACAGAATGGGACAACATTCGACGAGTGAGTCAGTCGAGGAATTACTCATGAAACTGAATATCTAATTACAGAAACAGGACCCTGAACTGTGGTTTCGAAATGGGAACTGCATGGTGCATCTCCACGCAAAAGGTCATTCTCAACGAGGTCCCTCCTTCAAGGTCCCCTTCTCAGCACTCCTCGAAGCCCAATGCTACCCCCTCATCCAAAGATTCCTAGTGTGGGAGGGCGTCCAAAAACCCAATCTTCGCGAGCTCATGAGATGGAGTAAGAAAAACACAACACGCAAAATCGAACTATACATCCCGCCACCTCCGACGACAGATAAAACGCAGGCTTTCAACTACCACCTCGCAACACGCAATTTCTTCGCCTGGGTGTTTCGAAGATCCATGGTCGGATACAGTCTCGGCAATGCTCTCATTGGTCTTCTCCACAGTATGCATGAGTTTCGATCCGGCGTGGACGACAATGTCTCAGATATGATGGAGTATTTTGACGAGGAGGGCTACCTCGACATGGCGAATCAGCCAAACCACGCGTTGGCGATATTGCAGCTTGCAGAGTGTTTTCAAATGAAGGAGCTGTACATTCGAGCTTTTGCACATTGCGTCGGCATGAGCGAATATTTGTTCGAAAATGTTGGGTTTCAGGTTTGTTGTTTTCTTTTTAGTTAAGAATGCTAAGACCAGCCGCTGACGAAGAGAATAGGAGCTCAGCCCTCCAACGCGCAAGCTCATACGTAAGGGACATCTCGAACTTGATTATCGCATGACGTGGTCATCTTCTATGCTGAGGACGTTTTTGGACGATGAGCTGTCGGAGGCTCATTTGAGCGTCTCAGCAGGCGCCCGAGCTCACCTCGAGCGCTTCCGGAGTTTTTTGTTATCATTCTATACGACCAAGCTGGGATACTACCCGCCGACTACGGACTCTGGCAACGACCTGTTCGATCCCGCTGTTTTAAGGATCATGCGTGAGGACTTTGAGGCTTTGTATGATCTACTCGTTGATGACCAGTATACCTCATCACATACCATGCCGCCCACAGCGCACGGAGGGATCTGCACTATTCAGCTTGTTCAATCTTTCGACTTTGAGCACGGATACGATGTTCTTGATCATCCACTGCCGCTTCTCCCAGACACGAATGGCAACAACTCGAGACGCATGTCTTGGTTTCCTGGACGTGTGACTCTCAGATCAGATCGCAGAGTTACGGCTCACACAGCCCTGATCAACGCCTCAAATTTGATGAAACCAGGAGTTGCACAGAATGACCTCGTGAGAGCATATCGACGCTTCGAAGAAGATTCCATCATGTCACCGAACAAAGCGGATAAGCAAGAGAAGGTGTCGCTGGAGGATGCTCGCAAGATCCGATGGATTCTCATCTACTCAGCATACCAAGTCCTCCGCTACGCGACAGACACAGCGACAGATTTGCAAGAGGACGAGATCAACGAGGCTCACTACAGTCTCTCTGCTTTAACTGACAAGCTTCCACCGTGGGATACACCTCGCGATCTGGACCGTATCCTGAGACGCCAGACCCAGTACGTTACTAGCGGACCGACCTGGAGTGTGCAACCGGACGGTGCTGCAGACGCAGGAGAAGATTCCTTTGGAAAGATTGAGATCAAGCCGGACATCGATTACTTCGCTCTCACTCACCGAGATCGTCCCCAGACACAACACGATAACCGCAAGATGGAACGTCGAGCATCAATGCCTTCACGTCCATCTCGCTCAAACTCATTCACACAGGCACTCAGCCGCTCCTCAACAATTCGACGATCAATGCGCATGTTTAAATCACCCACTACCACACCCCCTCAATCAATCACACCACCTTCACGACCAACATACCACGAAATCGTTGTCCACGGCTACGGCAACGGCACAAACGATGTGAACCTCGACACAGACGGAAGCGACACAAAAACAGACGACACAGACAACACAACCCCCGAGAGCATCGACACCGAATCACCCCTCGACACTCCCCCACTAACAGAGTACTACGTCGAGCCCACGATCCCCAAAGACGTAAAGGCCCGCCGCGAGCGCCGCCGCGACGTAATGTCCATGGTCGCACGCTCAATGTCCGGTCGCGTCTCCAAGCGCAGCCGGCCCATCAGCGCCATGTTCTCCGACTCGCGCTACGCAGACGAAGTCGAGAGCAGACGACACAGCATGTTTCCGCAGCCGCTGCGGATAAAGACGCAGGTGGAGGAGCCGTATATCGTGAATGAGGATGCGGATTGGGCTGCCATGCAGACGTTTATGGAGAGTCCGGGGGAGATGACGGAGGAGGATGATGATATGATGCCTGCTTGGGAGCAGTATGCTGATTTGGGAGGGTTGACTGATATGAGATGAATTTGCAGAGGAGGAGATGTGTGATTGCTATTACGCACGCTTGACGCGTTTTTCTATGTTTGTTTTTTGTTTGGTTGTTATAAGCGAATACCCCTATTTCTTTATGAAATGACATGTCTAGACGATAGTTATAGCTAGCTTTATTATGTTTGCTGTGGGAGGTAAGGTGAGATTGGAAGGGTAGTAGTTAATCATCAGTATTGATGTCAGTTGCTCCTACTGCGATGTGCTTCTCGGGCTGAATGTGAATACTCAAACAATAGTCAATTTCAATTTTGCCTCATCCATATACATCAAGCGTCAAAAGCGCCAGAACCCACCCTCGTATTACACATCATCTCTCATTCCTCATACATATCCGCCAAATACTAAAGGAGACGTTCAACCAGATCCTTCGTGCTTGTTCTATTCCGCCTTTACCGATTGGCTCGAAGCAAGTGTCAGGCCATCCAGAATATCTCCCCCAAACTTGGAGATCATGTAGGTCGGAAGGACAATCCAGGCACCGCTGACAAAGGATTAGTATCAATTCTAGTACATCGTATACATACTTACTTGGGAATTATCCAAAGAGTGAGTAGGTCCATCGGTGTGTTGTGCGCAATGTTGTCAAAGCCACTGTAGTACTCATTGGCCCCTAGTTCTGTCAGCTCCATCTCATGTACAAGAGATGCTCACTTACAGTATAAAATTGTCTTGCTCAGCGTCATAACAGCAGCACTAAAGCCAATAACAACAGCCAACGCACCATCTCGCCCACTCAAAGTTCTCTTCGCACCATCAAGCGGCTTATCCGCGCGCGTCCACAACATGTACAAATACACCAAGTACATAACCGTCTCAACAACATTCAACGCCGTTTGCGCAGCAGTGAAGCCGTTTTTTGCATTGAAAGCCTTCCAGCCGTAAACGTGATCGACTTGGCCGTACAGCGCATACGGGACGTATAATGGCCAGTGGAGGAAACCGTCAGGCATGGTGTGAGGACGGCCAAAGACGTAGCCTATATCCCATATGACGAGGGGCAATGATATCGCCAGCCAGAGAATCGTTGTCGATGAGGCTGTATGATGCCACGTATGAGAAGCGCGTTTCTTGGACGATCCATTTGAAAGTGAGGGGTTCGAGTCTGTGTTCTTCATCGTTCGTTTTCGCGTAGCAGGCGTAGGAGGTATATCAATCGTCGTAGAACTTTCAGTACTGACGCTCTCGCCGCGAGAACTCGCTCTTGTAGTAACCATTTCGAATAGATGTCAACTTTGGTATATATAGTAGTTGGAAGAGGAAAAAGTGGTATTGAGCGTAAACAATGGCACTGTGACATCAGGTCAACTACCGATGCTGGAAGTCGGATCACTCGACATCCGAGGTGCCCGTTTAGGCAATTGAGTGTCAGAACCGTAAAAAGCCCCTGGGGAATTGGTGGGCGGCCGCTGGTCGTTAGTGGACTGTCGGTAGTTGGCGCTATCACACTAGCGCACCCGTCGATTCCTATTGGTGAATGGAGGTGTTTTCGGCTGGGCAGTCGTTTAAATTGCCCGGACGTATTCGCTTTAGGCGTATCGTGGCTCTGAATAGGATACACACGCGCTGTCATGAGGCGCGTTACGGTGGTCGATTGATTGATTGACTTTGGGACAATTGACTCTTCGAAACGCGCAGGCATTTATTCTCAACTTACTCTCAGCTTTTTACGTGGTACTTACTATCTCTGCAGTCATTAATATACGCCTACAGCATGTACCTGTCTGACCGCTCCCGGATTGATAATTGATACGCGAATATGATCGTCAATTGTTTTGATAGTGCATCTTAGCGCAATGAGGTCATTGTTAATACTGCAGATCACAATGATCTGAGTTGCTCAGCTGGGGCAGGAAAGAAAACTCAGGACCTTGACCCTAAGTGATAAAAATATTTAGGTAAATCTACCCTAAATTTAGGGGACTCTTTACTAAGTTTATTTTAACACCCTATATCAAGGTTCGGTGTTTTCTTGCCCCCGAGGCTCAGCTACCAAATGTATCACCTCCACTCTCAAGAAACTCCACTTCCGCTGGCGTCGCCTCCCTCCCAAGTGCCTTGTTTCTATGCGGATATCTCCCAAACCTCTCAATAATAACTCTATGCTTCTCCTCAAACATCTTATTCGTCTCACCAACTGCCTTTGCTGCTTCAGGATCCGCTTGCACCACTTCCCTCGCCTTCCTCTCGTACTCGTCTGCGCCGCCTATTCCATCTATCAAGCTCAGTATATCCTGGTTGATCCGATCATAGGCAGCCACAGCCTGTTCATGCGCAGATATGTCCTCTGAGTGCATCAAGGGCATGTAGAACCAGGTGCGGTGGGAGAAAACCCAGCGGATCTCAGGTGCCTTATCTGGAATGCCTTGCTTGATGGCTTCGAGTGAGACTTGCTGTGCGATAGGGTCGAAGTAAGTGAAGCAAATGGATGCTTTCTCGCCGCGATATGAGTTGCGTGGAATTTGGTCGAGCAGAATGATAAGGCTCAGCCAGTCTAGCGAGTTCCGAGGCTGGGCAACGGACAGAAGCTCTTGTGCGGACGTAACACCCGCGTTGCGGATGGCTTCGAGTACAGGGCTGAATCGAGTGCTAGGATGTGTTAGAGGATCTGGCCAATTCGGAGTAAGTGTGTGACTTACACGCAGACATTGTCAAACTCTTTGTCCGAGAAGAACCATCTCTTTTGCAGTTCTCCAGGAGCGATGATACGGTTGGCCTCCTCGGGGATATGCTCAAACCAGAAATTCCGCAGCTCGTCAAGTTTATCATGAGTGAGATGCTCCTTGAGGCCATCTAGATTCTTGGTCTGGGAGCCCATTTTGATAGGCTGAGACTGCTCCTGTAGCTGGAACGTAGACGAACTAAATGGCCTGCTTCCGGATAAATAATGTTGGTAGAGCCTTGTTGGTGCTGCGACTAACGTGCTGGCCAGGGGAAGTTGAGAGATGGTGCCTTTATGATCTGAGATCCATTCAGCACTCCAGTAGCAAATAAAGATGAAGAACGACCAACATGCGAGACGACGAGCTGTGCTACCCCAAGTCGAAGGTGCTTTGACAGGCGCCCTCATGACGAGACTTACTTGAGAGTTTGAGGGATGATGCAATGATTGCAAAACGAGGGAAGAAGTCTGTTATGGAGAGATAAATATTTGGGTGTTATAGCAAGGAGTAATCTGACAAATCAATCTGTGAAGTTGTACGGACCTCCGTACCACGGAATTGAAACTGGCATCGCGATCGGAAACCATCTCTGACGATCCTTGCGCGCGGCATCTCCACTCTCGGACCCTCGCTAGTCTCGGTATTCCGAGATGGAGTCTACATGACCAATCTTCGGCGCTTGCTCTCCCCGATTCGGTAGACTCTTGCTCATGTTCGCATATGACATTGTATAAGAAAAGATGTAAATTCAGAACATTAAGTACTAATCTACTCTAACCGGGTAAATTCTGGATCTTGAAAGATCTGCATCTGGAGTATTAAGGCGACCACAGACTCGTACAAAGAACTTTACCAAGACAACCTCAAATTACCAACAGCTTAAACCATCCAGAGAGCAATGAGAACAGCAAAAACCCTAGCTCCTCCAGCGACGAACTTGGAGCTTCCGGCGTTGACAACGGGGGCGACTCCGGTAGGAGTGGGAGTAGTCTCTCCAGCACCAGTGGTAGCATCTGCGGTAGCGGTGGCAGTAGCAAGAACTGAGACGTCAATGGCCTTGAGGGTCTTGAGAAGCTCGGGGGTGGTGTAAGTAGGCTGGCTGTCGTCGGCGTAGCTGATGACGGAGAAGGGAAGCTTGGAGACGGGTGTTGCGCCAGGGAAAGCAAGGCGGTCATCAGCGTCGGCAGCGGGCTTGAGATCAGCGCGGTCAAAGGGATCGTCGGCAGGGTTGAGGACACTACTGCTGTCAGTATTGTAGGAGGTTAATAGGAGACGAACGACTTACCCATCGATAACGTGAGCGACACCATTGAAGAGAAGAACATTGGTGAAGAGAATCTTGGCTCCATTCACCCAAGCACTTCCATCCTCAGCAACAGTAAACGTCAGATCAGCGCCCTGCAGACTAGGAACGCTGACATTGGCCAGATTAGTAGAGAAGAGGACATCATCCACGATGTGGTACTTCAACACCTCCTGCAGAGTCTTGAGATCAGCGCTCTTAAGGACTGAACCGATAGCCTCAAAGGCAGGGTCGTTGGGGATGAAGACGGTGAAGTCAGAGATGTTGACGAGGGTAGAAGAGTCGCGATCCAGGTTGCCGAAGTTGTAGGGGAGGTCTGCTGCGTTGAGAGCGGCGTTGAAGTTGAGGAGGTTGTCGCGGCGGGTGAAGAGTTGGAGAGGAGCACCGAAGCTGAGAGGCTTGTCGACTTTGTGGATGATGACTGAGTCACCGACCTTGATATCCTGCAAATCATCAGTACCAGTTCAATGTCTAAGATAGTAGTACTCACGGCTTCAGTCACATAGGACAGAGTCTCCTCACCAGAGATGACAACAACATCATCGCCATCTTTCACAATACCATTATACTGACCACCCGTAAAGTTGCCAAACGGCTGACGATAATTGACAAAGCTCGAGTCCAGCAGCGACTGCACAAACACAGGAATGTCCGTAGCGACCTTGGCAGGATAATAGCCCTTAAAGACATGGTTTGACAGCAGAGCACCAATGGCGATGGTGTCGTTGCGCTGGGAAATAGCTTCTCCCTCGGGAATGTCGAGGGGGACTGAGGCGAATGCTTCGTTGGTGGGAGCAAAGATGGTGATGTTGCTGGCGGATGCGAGAGTCTCTGCGATGTCGGGCACGAGAGCGAGGAGCTCGGCGAGCGTGGAGAGGTCGGATTGGGAGGAGAGGATGCTGGCGAGGTCGGATTGGGCGACCACGGCGGATGCGAGAGCTGCGAGGTTGAGGAACTTCATCTTGAAGATTTTGAAGCTGAAGAGGATAATGAAGCTGGCGATAGCTGTTAAGCTGGTAGTAATTGTGATTGTGATGCTGAAGATGTGAAGCCGTGAGTGATGAGACTTCTCTTCGCCGCGCGATTCTCCCTTCACTTTATACACAACACCTCTCCATGAAGCCAACCATGATCCCCAAACAAATTCAAACAAATCCTTCCTCAATCCATACCAAGCATCTCTCTCAAAGTCGAAGCATCATCGACTCTCGCTCATCCCATGCATAACGCTCAGTGATCATGATGTTGACCCAACTACCAGGGTCTCACATCTACAACACATATAAAATCCACGGTCAAAATTCACCGTCTCCATAAAAGACCCTGGGGAAATACAAGCTTAACTGCCAGCACAGCCTTCGTCGGTTATTGCACAGCCTTAAAGCCTCCCCGAGAGTCGTGTACGTCATTTGTAAGTCTACCCGTGTAAGTGACAGGACACGGATTCCCGCGCCAAAAAAGCATCCCTGTAGGATGTAACGGCTTCTAGACCCTTTCTGCAGGCTTACATGGTTAGACTTAAACTTCTGCAGGATAAAAGAACAAGCTACAGGGAATAAAGGTGCATGTTACTACCGTAGACTAAAGATTAATTACTAGGTTGGTGTAAAGGTAGGAATTGATTAGAAATGTCCATTGGGGCTGAGTCCCTCGATTTCCTGTTCTGCAACCTCCCTCTGCAGATTTTCCTCATAGCGCTCAATAATACTCTCGTAATCATCCAGCCAAACGCCCAGCCATTCCACAGATCCTATGATCCTCGTGTTCCAGTTGCCCATATGCGGATCGAGCTTTAGCAGCTCCTCTTTGACTGATATGAGTTTCTGCATGGCTTCTCGCACGTGCAGGGTTTCGCGTGTCAGGATTTGGCTGTATGTGTTTCCTGGTGCAGACACTGCCACGAAGACTTTGATGAGGATGGAGAGTGTGTAGCTCACCGCTGGGCCGAAGCAGAGGGAGGGAAGGGATAGGATTGTGGAGGCGTCCATTTCGAGGACTATTGAGATGGCGAGGTGGCAGGCCTCTACTATTGAGTGCAGGGCTGTTGCTGTTGTTGAGGTTATGGGGCCGCGGGCAAAGTCGTGGACGCCGATTCTTTCGGAGATGTAGGGGGATGTGAATAGGGTTTTGTTGGTGGTTGTGTGAAGAACTGGTTCGTTGACGTGTATTACGACGAGCATTCGCCAGAAACGCAGCTGAACTTCGCCTGCAAGAGGTCTGTTACTCAGCTCGTTCAGATCATCGTAGACCTGGTTCCTCGTCGCCGCAAAAACATCAGAGTTGACGTCGAGAAAGGCGCGGGTATTGCAGAGTTCAAGAGAACTAGCAACCTTTGCATGAAGTCGAATCGTATAAAGCATCTCCAAGAACAACGGCTCCGAGCCATCAGCCTCCAACGCCCCCAGAGCCTCATAATGCGCCGTTCCCCAATCAAAATCATGCGCCCTCCTAAGCCCAAGCGCCTTCATCGTAGAAGTCATCCAGCCCGCCAACCAAATCTTCTGCATCTCCAGCGTCAGTGGCCCCTGGATGCGGAAGAACCACGCCGGCGCAGAAGTCTGCATCTCCGCACCTCCAAGACCAAGCTCCACGCTGAGATCGTGTGCCAGTGAGACAGCCTGGTTCGGATTCCCGTGGTTGCAGTCGAGGGAGGGTCTGATCCAGAGACCGGTTATTAGCGCGGCCTGGATGAGATCTAGCGAGGGACGCTTGAGACCGACGGCTGCTTGGCCGAGGATTTCAAAGGTCTTGATTCGTAGGTCCTCTTGCGTTTGGGGATCGATCTCGGCGGAGGAAGGGGGTATCGTGAAGGCGAGCATGGATATGAGCTTGACGGGTGCGCCTGTCCGGAGGGAGTCTAGCCATGATCGTGCTGAGGTGGTGTCAACGGGAGGTATAAGGTACCAGAACTGTCCAGCCCTTGTTGAGCAGACCTCCAGACATCGAAGCTTAGTATCGTAGTCTATACGAGAATCCAAAAAGCCCAGTTCCGATGGCCCAGCACTTGTCTGCGGCCAAGCTCCATCAGAGAACACCGAAGTAGCCCTCGTCGAAGAAGCAGCATAAGTCGACAACCCCAGCGTCGAATTGGTAGCGCCATCAAGTTTATCCTGCAGATTCCTAACCTGTTCCTCCAACTCAACAATCCTATCTCTCTGCCACTTTCTCGCAGCAGGCACACAAGTGAGACTGTATCGAGAGCATCGTTCACAGATTGATGACTCTTCAGGTGATGGTTCGCATTTGACTTTGAGAGCCTGGCAGGCTTCGCAGGCGCGAGATCTCTTCTTCATGGTGGTATAAATCCAAGCATTTTGGAAAGTCGTGTAAGTGAGGACTTGGGTGGATTTATGAGGGAGTCATGGTGGCTTAGCACTTGGTAGGTTGTATTGTAGATGGTTGATTGCTGAGGATTGCGGGGTGGTTGCCACTAATGGATCGTCATAAGTGATCAGAGCGCTGGAGCTGTTCAACGAGGCCCATGAGTACTGTAAACTAGGTACTCAAAAGTATTGTTCTGGTGCAACTCGCGTTGGTGGCACCCAGTAGTTTTTTTCGGTTGCGTGAAGTGAGGATGTTTTCCCAGCCATTCACCCTATACCTTTGATTCTGTCTGCGTTTTGCACAGTACCTCTTTTAAGCAGCAGCTTTATACGATCTACGTATGCACCCAATTGGAAACAGCAGTCTCTGCTTCTCAATGTAGCTTTAATATGCACTTAAACAGATTGTTGATGCTTGACGTATGATGCTGGAGAACGAACCGACGTCAAGTCATTGCAAACAAGCCTGAGTGTCAAGGTAAGATCACGATGAACAACACATATCAACACAACTACTAATCAATCGTACAAAGCCCATAAAACCATCTATTATTTTGCATAGCCCCGTAACGTAACTCTAAAAAAGTGTTGGATCGAGGTATTCCTTGTGTTTGGCCATGTAAGGGTGAGTCAATGCTCTTTGAGCAGATGCACCATGACAAACTTCAATGTTTCTATACACGATCTTCATTGACAGTGAATTGACAGGCAAATGGAGATTTGAATTCATCAAGAACTGCAGTATGAGGTGTTTTTTTTCATTGCACTTATACGTGACCCTCTCATAATTGACCGGCTGCCAGAGTGCGGTTGTTTATGAAGCAGTGAGGTTTGACCTGAGAGAGTCAATGACATCATATTCATTTGAGCTTACCACCAGCATCATCTCCGCAGTGAATTGTTGGCAATCTCAGTGGATGATATACCCATCCAATTATACACAAGCATGGCTCTTCACTGCATTGACCGCCCATCAATTCCTCGAATCCATTTCTGTAACAGCTTCGTTTCTGGGAGCCGTAGCGGAGCCGAAGACAGGGAACAGGCTTGCAGGGCTTGCCTACGAGATCCGTCGTTAATGTTAATGTGTTAGGTAGCAATCGGATGATCTGCTTTCTTTTTCTAGGGTACTATTATATGAAAACTTTCTTTCTTCTATCTTCACGCTTCAATAAACAAGTGGTTATTCAACACAATGAAGCTGCTTCGCTATTCCTCTGAAAATATCCACTACAGCCTCACCAAGCCCTACAGCGGCCGCTATGAATAGCGTACAAAACACGCCGAGCACGCACGTGGCATGTTTCACAGTGCACTGGACACCTAACTAGACCATTGGTTCTAGGTCTGAAGCTAGAAAACATCCGTTCCACCGGTGCATAACTAGGTATAGTGCTAGACCCTGATCGTCCGCTATTGAGGCGACGAGGATGTTGAGCCGCAATTTGGAGCTGGGAACAGAGATGAGACGACGAGATCTAGTCAGTTGTGAGGGCTCATTTTTGCGAGATTGGATCTGCTGTTTTGCTTTTGTAGGATTTTCTTCAGTGGGAGGGACCCGCTGTGGATGTTGTTGGTCGTCGTTGAAGAATTATCTATCTGCAGCAAGGAACCGCCCTGTTTGACCAACATCAAAAGCCTACAATATTAGATATTCTTCCCAATTACAGAGTAAGCATCGTATGAGTACAGTGTCATGCTTGGGTTCCTTCGCTCAAAATATCAGACCCGGATCTTCACCGAGCAACCCTCCAACCAATTTTCGCAAAAGCATCAACCTCAGCTCTCCTCTTCCCTGCCACTCACCACGTTTTTTCCCAATCAAAGTTCGATAGTGTCAAGTTCGTCTCGTCGGCATATTTCTTTTCTTACAGAAAGCTAGGACCTGGCGGTGATATGCGGCCGGCGACATGGGCCCACCTGACTCGAAGAAGAGTGTCACTCCATGATCCGTGATGCTGAAGCATTTCTCAAGACGTTTTCTGGAACATCTGCTTGTTTCACCTGTAGGGCTGTCAAGCGACTTATTCACAGCTTTAGCTAACACCGTGCCAGCGTCAGTAACTCCAGCAATCTTCTTGCTATTCTTCCTGGAGACGACTCGCAAAACACTCCAAAAGCATACTCGTCTATCTCCTACCAACCATGCACGAACCCCATATAACGTACCAACCGATATGCAGCCTTGAGGATCTCTGGATGATAGCCTCCCCCCGGTCCAACCAGAGATCGAGTCTCGCCTTGTGCTCTGGGATCCCCTGCCGAAGATCGATCGTTGCGGATCCTGAGAATGGATGCTTCGTCTGTGCTTTTTACCCTTCAATAGGATCAACGTTATTATTTGGGCACAGGCATCGGGATTCGCAAGATCTGAAGGATTAGCGGCGATGTTGTGTTGGATATGTATGTGGGCTTCCCATCGTTTGCTTACTCTGTCGCCCGTTTCTTTGTCTCTATTCTTCCTATACTTTCTCCCCTCCCGAGTTCTTTGCTGAACGCTTCTAATTGCCCGAGTTCAGTTACGCAGTTATCGCCATGGGGGACTTATGGAAAGGACCGAACTTTATCGAAGTCGACGCCGGTGAGAATGACATGAATATTGCGAGTATCGCTTGGGGGATCTCACTCGGAGTCGGGCTGTTCACGTTCACAAAAGGGATACAACAAACCATCAAGTCATGGAGGAGAGGACGTAGGATGAATCACTACATCATACTGTTATGGCTGGAGTGGACGAGCAGTTGCATCATGAGCGCTGTCACTTGGTGCTATCTACGAAATTATATCCCCGGCGGGTTTCCGGTTTTCTTTACTCTAAGTAAGTCCTACCGCTGCTATTGTATTGGCGCCCCTGGCAATCCCGAGGAGACGCTAATGGTATGCAGTCTTCCTTTGGTGTATTCAACTTCAAGCACTCATCCAAATCATCATAAATCGAATTGCAATCCTCATGGTCAACCGACAAAACGCCAAGCGCCTCAAGATATACTCCTTCCTCATCATATTATGTATCAACATCAGTGTCTTCACTATTTGGATACCAGCTCGGCTGCAGGCTAACAAGACTTGGATCGACATCAACAAAGTCTGGGATAGAATCGAGAAGGTCATCTTCCTGGTGGTTGATGCGGGACTCAATCTGTACTTTATCCATCTTGTGAGATCGAGACTCATTTCGAATGGCCTGACCAAGTACACTCGACTGTTTCGGTTCAATTTGGGCATGATTGCTGTGTCGATGACTATGGATGTATGCTTCCACAGCCCAAGAACTGTTCCTATGCGTACTGATTCTGACCAGATCCTCCTTATCGCAATGATGTCCCTACCGAACGACATTGTGTAAGTCAACCCGACCAACTCGCCCGTCAAACTGCTAACTTCTTTCTATAGATATGTCCAGTTCCACCCTCTAGCATGTCTCGTCAAACTCCACATCGAAATGAACATGGCCGACCTCATCATCAAGGTCGTAAAGGCCAGCAACAACAGCGACTATCCCGACTACTCCGGCTCCAGATCCCACAGCACCCAAAAGAAGAGCTCAAAGCAGACCGGAAAAAGCAAAATACCATCAGCCATGTTTGTTGGCGGCAACACTACGTTTATCGAAGCGAATACGGACGATATAGAACTGGTAGATCGACTAGAGGGAGGCATCCAGAAGACCACACGAACGGAAGTTGTTGTTAAGCAGGCGAGGAGGTCTGAGTATGATGATGTGGCTAGCGATACGGGGTCAACGAGGCAGCTACAGAGGGAGTACTTCACAGTATGAGGCGTGTTTTGGGTAATGAAGTAATTGGGCTTGCCTTTTAAAAACATGAATACCGTGAAGATAGTGAAGGTCTCGATGCCAACAGACGACTGCTACCATATCCGAGGATTTAGGATACCTATATACGATACCCTTTGCTTTTTGTTTAATAGAGTCATTATAATAATATGATAGAAGCGTGATAGAAAACCAGAGCTGTCCAATGCTATACCTAGTTCATGTACTTTGCAAACCACTCCAAGAACTGATCCGGCTCCCTCTGAAAATACGTATATCCATCCCATCTCCTATCCGTTCCCTCAATCCACTTCAACTTCTTGTCCTCGACAGGGATATTGTCATAAACAGACTGAACATCCTTCGGCGTCGTGCAAGGATCATCGCGAACCTGATACAGAAACGTCGGCACATTGGCGTGCTTCGCATCAGTCGGCGGCGACAATTGACTTATATGAAAACTCGTCTTCATGAAGAATTGTCGATCTGCTTCTTCCATGTACGATGCCGGAGCGCCCATCTTGTCAAGCATCACTGCGATGGAGGAGCCGGCTGATATAGGCTGCGGCGCAATCATGCATCGTACGCCTTTGAAGGCTTCGGGCCGATGTCTCATCGCTGAGAGCGTTGCGTTTGCACCGGCGCAGCGACTAAACAGTCCAATCGTCATGTCTTTCGTATCTTCCCTCCCACGAACATATTTCAACGATCCAAGAACATCGCGCCACTCAAAGAAGCCAAAGAGACCCTGGTTTCCACTTCCACTGAGTCCATGGTTCCTGAGATCATACGCAAGGACATTATACCCCGCATCATGGAGAATCTTGTAATCGGGGATAAAGTTGACTTCAAAGTCGTTCCCGGGCATGAGTTGATTCCAAGGCTCGAGATGCGAAGGGATGCCAGCGCGGTTGAACCAGTGAGGATGGTTGGCGATGATGATCTTGTTGGAGCCCTTGCAGGGGATGAACCAGCCTTCCAGAGGGACGCCGTCATCAGATGGGAAGTAGATGTCTTCGAATTCGAGGCCTTCTTCATTTGGATAGTGCATTATCGGCGCAAGGTCCCATCCTCTGAAGTCGTCGACCACGGTCTTGATGATGGCCTTGATCTCTGCGTCTGTTGGGGCCATGATTGTGAATGTTCGTAAATTGGTGAGAATGAATTGGGGCTGTGTATAGACTACATGAACAACATAAACTTGGATATAATGGAGTGAGTTTGCCTTAAATGCTGATGTACTTGAATCCTTCGCGTGTTTTCGCTATTGAATCGGGGTTATCACAGGCCATGGCACTCATTCCGCTGCTTTATCACCGCTTATCTCCATTTTTGGTCCAGGATTCTGCATATTGTCAGCATCATAGACTTCAATCACGACTCAATCCTAGGATTATCTCACGATGTTTCGAGCGGATAAATTGAAAATCCAAACTCAAAATTCTCCAGGATTATGTGAAGGACTCAGGCTAGAAAGTCACAGACGGAAGTCGGCAAATGAGAACAGTATTGTATCCGGAAACCACGGCATTGTCTGAGCAAGGGCTTAATTCAATTACCCAATTCATGTCCAATATGTCACTTTATGCCTGGTAAACGGCTGAAGACGGAGGATATCCCACCAACTTCGATCCAGGACCAGGCCTAAACTTGGGCTCCTTATACCACTCCTGCGCAGTCTCAGCCAAATCTTTGACTTTGGAGAACTCAAACTGAGGTTGGTCCAGAAGATCATAAATGCCCTGCGCATAATCCTCCGCGATGTTGTATACCTGCGCCAAATACTTGCTCTATGCTTCTGTCAGTCTGAAGTGTTGATCTCAACAGCGGGATTGCTTACCTGGATCTCGGGAAACTTGACGCGACGAAGACCCTTGGCTGTGTTGTAGCAAGTATTCTTCTTCTCCTGCTCGCTCATAACCCTCGTCCACAGATCCTTCGCTTGGTCGTAGTCATTCTTCTTTCCCTCATGCCAATAGTGGCTAGCCCTGCTTGCGATGTTGTCGCTGACCTGATACGGCGCCTCAGCGACATCAGGTCTGAACTTATGAGCGAAGCTGTTGGGAGCATATTGCTTATTGCCTGCGTGGTTGGCATCAACACGCATCGGTCCGTCAAAGTTGAGCGATGCATAAGACTTGGCCATGAAGGGGCAATTGACGGGGATTTGGTGCAGATTGACACCGATGCGATGATACTGAGCATCGCGGTAGAAGAACATGCGGAACTGAAGAAGAGGATCAGGCGAATCTTCAATACCAGGAACCATGCTACCGGGTGAAAAAGCAGCCTGTTCCACATCGCGATGGAAGTTCTCGGGGTTCTTATTAAGCACCAATCTTCCAAACTCCTTCATTGGGAACTGCGATCGCGGCCAAACCTTTGTGACATCAAAAGGATCAAACCCAAGTTTATCAGGGTCCGCTTGTCTAGGATCCATGACTTGCACATGAGCCGTCCACTCAATCTCCTCACCCTTCTCGATAGCCTCCCAAAGATCTCTCTTGGAGTAATCAGGATCCTCACCGCACATTTGCATAGCTTCACTGTCAGTGAACTGCTTCTGACCGTGCTTTGCGATGAAGTGGTATTTGATGTAGACGAATTCTCCATTGGAGTTTACCCACTTGAACGTGTGGCAGCCGTAGCCGTGGTTGAAGCGCCATCCTTGGGGAGTCCCGTGATCGCTGAAGAACATGAGACCTGCGTGGTTGGCTTCGGGGGTGTTGGCGAGGAGATCGAAGAGGGCGTCATGATCGAGGAGGAAGTTTGTTGGGTTGCGGTATTGAGAGCGGATGACGTCTGGTCCTTGAATGGGATCGCGGCAGAAGAAGACGGGCTGAACGATGATTAGTTTGGCAATTAACAGAGAAGATAGCTTAACTGACGAAATTGAGGCCGACAAGGTCATAGTTTCCCTCCATGGTGTAGAATTTGATGGCGAAACCTCGAGGGTTACGAGCCTCGTCCGGGAATTCTCGACCGAGAGTTACAGTAGAGAATCTGACAAAGACGGGTGTCTTTTCTCCGACAGACGATAAGAAGTTCGCTTTCTAGGATACAAGTCAGCAACTTAACACAGTTAGGGGCCGATGACTTGACTTACAGTGAGTTCAGTCACATCTTGAGTACACTCAAAGTATCCAAAGGCACCAGAGCCACAAGGATGAACCATACCTATGGTCTGTTAGTGGCATGCAACTTTGATGGTCTCAAGCGGTCTTCTTACGCTCAAGGTTCTTTGACCTGTTGAAGGTTTGTTGCTTCCTATCTCCAAGTCAGATTCAGCACCCATATATTAACAAGGAAGACTTACTGCAAGAGAAACGTATCGCTGACCAAAGGAAGCCCTCCCACCGTCTTGCTATGGGCACTATTAAAGCGTTGGTATATGCCCAGAAACTGAATCCAAGTATACATACGGATCAGGAAAGGGAATGCCCTCATTGTTGGTGAAGTACGCTCCATCATCCTCTCTCTTCCCTCCGGCCGTCGCACCAGAGACTTTGGCGATCACCTCTGCTGGACCCTCATTGGCACCCTGCATGTGGCTCATGCGAGGGTTTCGACGTTCTCCTTGAGTCTCAGCGCTAATGGCATTGCCAATGGCCTGGAGAGGATGCTGGCGAGGGTCGAGTTGGTTGGAGTTGAGAGACATGGTGAATAATTGAAGTATGTTGCTGCTACTCTCACATTAGTGTATGTGAAATACACCTGAAGAATTGAGGAGCTGAGAGAGAAGTAGCATATCTTATATCTCAAAGACATAATGATCAATTGGCAGCCTCTGAAAGTCTGCACTCCAAGACCGGAGGTATCTCCGGATCATTGACACATCGTCAAGCCCAATACAAAGAAACGTGCATATTGGTGCGACATAATGACAGCGCAGTCAATTGATCAATCTGAGAGCTCAGAGAAGATTCGGAGCTTTTGTTCCAATTAGAGTCCATTCATTGGTAAGAGCTGTAGAAGCTGACATTGTGAGCATCGACATGCTGGCATATTGTCGTCATGGCATGGTAATAGACTAGACACACCGCCCGACAAACTGCCCTGTGAGATATCGATGACCTCGATCAAAGCAGTGTTAGTTCATATACAACATAATTAAGCATATTGGTTAGCTTTCGCTAATATTGGGCAGTTAATTCGTCTCGTGTCTTTGAGCGAACGCTTTACTTGACTCCAACGTCATCGGGCTGCGAGGCATCTGATTGGTTTACCATTCTATCCCAGATGAGCCCTATCCTATGTACCAAGAGAAAGGTATATAAGGAGATCTGACTCGAAGCAAGGCTGTTCAAAAGAGACTTCTAGTCTTGAGTGTTACACATCTTTGGACGCTATGACCTAGGGAATGCGGCGCCCCAAGAATCCCATGTCATGTAAAACCAGAAATTCAAGAGAGAATAGAAGCCGAGGCACTTAGCCGGTATCTCAAAAAGTCCAACATCAGAAAGACGGAGCGTGTTCGTCTTGCTGCCACGTAAGATCATGACTCTTGATGCGCCTTGAGATCTCTTATATTGACCAACATTCATGTCCATTCTTGATCACTCGAATAGAATCTCTAAGAGAAGGCCTATAAGCCTTTAGAAGACGTCACACTACTCGATGTTCCCGAGACATTTTTGTTTGCTTGATGACGAAAGCAGCTACCGCGATCTGGTGGTAGTCAGTAAATCTCCCCGAAACGAGACATTCCAGCCAGAAACTCTACCCGGGACCAACAAATTACGCCGATTCTCATGCCAATTAACAATAAGAAGCCCATGTCCATCGCCCTTCAGAGTCAGTGATGCGAGATGCTGTGTCACAACGTATTACCAGCTATCAGCCTCCAGGCCCAGCTTCAAGTGGCGGAAAGCGCCCAGGGGTTGAACAACAACGGCATATCTCGTTCCTGGCCCTGATCAAATAACTTTCTTAGCGTTGCAGATCGACTAGATCTGGACTTCCCGGCCCTGAAACTTTATCCGATAACAAGTCTCGATCTCAGACATGCACTGGAATTTGGCCAAGCATTGGCGGCCAACACAATTACCCAATGCGTTAAAGCAAGGACTTAGGACGGAGTAGCTCGGCTTTAAAGGATGCTGTGCCTATATTTGGCAGTCGTCCAATCGCTATGCTGACACCATTCGAACACGCCCCGTTTTGATATGCATGTCAGACTTCTTCGTGACGTGGGGACCAATGGGGTATTGGGGAAGAATACGAAAACTAAGCGATGCTGACAATTGACGGAGAATTCGCAGATTGAGATGTCCGAGTAAGTGCGATGATTAGAAATAAGTTGGAGATCAAGATGGATTTGAGGTATATAAAGATGCGAGTTGAGCTGTGAAGGAGTAAGCTTAGAACGCATCGTTTATCAAACATCACAAACTATCCTCTTTAAAGTTATCATCAGACAAAATGGTTACTGTTGCTGTTGCAGGCGGTACAGGCAAGGTCGGCCGAACCCTCGTCGAGGCCATTGTTGCCGCAGGAGAGCATAAAGTCGTTATCCTCAGCCGAGAGGTGAGTTCTCCACGCAAAAGATTCATAGGCTCAGCTAATGGAAACCGAAGGAAAACAAGGCACTGGAAGAAAAGATTGGAGCTTCTGTCCTCGCTGTAGACATTCATAACATCGATGCCCTAACTCAGCTGTTTGAAAAGCACAACGTGCACACTGTCATCTCTACACTTGGCATGAATGGGCCAGAACCTATCGAGATTGATATTATCCGTGCATCAGAAGCATCTCAGGCAACAAAACGATTCATCTCGAGTGACTGGGGTCTTCCCCATACAGAAGAGTAAGCAACCACTTGGAAAACGTCTGATTGAAAACAAACAACTAACAAAGAGCTATAGGCATGCAGCTCAAGCTAATTCAGCAAACAACAAACTCCGTGCCCAAGACGAGCTACGCAAGACAAACCTCGAATGGACCTCTGTTCATATCGGCTTCTTTCTTGATTTCTGGGGCTCCCCTAAATCAGCTGCTAAATCAAACTTGCACACTCCTTCAACATTTGTCGATATCAAACACCGAACCGCTGCTATACCAGGATCTGGAGACGTCCCCGTTACGTTTACATACAGTCGAGACGTAGCCAAGTTCGTTGCTGCCCTTCTCAACCTTGAGAAATGGGATGAAGCAACATATATCATTGGTGACAAAGTCACATTCAACGAGATGGTCAAGATTGCGGAAGAAGCTACAGGTACGTGACGAGGTTCGTGGCTAAAGCTAGGGATGCTGATATTCGATAGGTGACAAGTTCAGCGTTGTTTATGATAGCGTTGAGACACTTCAGAAGGGGGAGTTGAGTGAGCTACCAGGCCACGAGACGATGTTTGCCAATATTCCTGCGCCCAAGGCGGTCATGAAGAAGGTGATATCTGCGTATGGTTTGTGGGCAGAGACTGGTGGTTTCGACTTGGATGAGAGCAAGGCTCTGAATAAGGTCTTTCCTGATATCAAGCCTATTACTGTTCGGGAGTTTCTGGAAGATGCTTGGGGCAGCGAGAAGAAATAGTGTCGGTAACACTTTGTTCCCTTCAAACATAGCTTTGGTGTAATCTTCTTCATAGTATCATTTTGAGAAAAGGCACAAACCTTCAACTATGTGCCCAAAATGTTTATATCAGAAGTCCTTATGAGTCACGAATTGCATGACAATCACCTGCAAGCTGGGACGACGTAAACCATTAGCGTAGGAAACTCCCGTTCAGGCCCGTGCCTCTAGATCGTACGGCCAATATTTTGTCTCAGATCTAGATACCTTGTTTAGCCCATGCCAAGTCTAGATCAAACCCGCGTTTTGTTCTTCCGCCGATCTCCAATGACATCAACTACTCCCCTCACTAGCCTTGGCACAATAAACTCATCCGAAACATCTCATCTCCAGCTCTCGTATTCCCTCAACTCAAATGCTCTAAGCGCCAAGCTCAAACACCAGGAACCAAGATCCATTACGCCGCAAGCAGCCACCCAAACGCCGACCGTCACGTATAACAGATTCTGGTAATATGCCCTGAATATCAAGCCATGCGCCGCAAAAACCGGAGGCGGCTTATCTTCAGAGTTGCAAAACGCCGGGCGCATCGAGAAACGTGGGCAAGAGGCACTTCATCGCTGCGGCAACATCAAACCTGATTGTTCAAAAATAGCTTCCACCTTCCGAAAAAGAGGCTTGAGGCTTTGTCGGAATTGGAAATGATGTTGGGGGAGTAGATGGTTGCGGGTGGTGGAGTAGATGCATCGTGGCTGGAATGTCTGGCGTTTTTGAGCGAAGCCGCCGTACGCGGCGTGAGAAGGGGAACGACAATGAAGAGAGAAGATCGGAGGGCAAAGTTATTTTTTTCGTTGGGAACTTGAGAAAGAATGGTATGCATATAAACCCCCGAGGGCTTGGTATGTCTCGCATTTCTCTTCACCTCTCATCACACTCTCAAACCGATACAGTTTCACCAACATCGTCACTCGTTCAACCACTCACTCCAACACATACAACTCCAACTCCAGCTCCAACTTCAAGATGAAGAAGTTCTTGCTCGTCGCCCTCTCAGCTACCGGCGTTCTCGCCGTCCAATACTCTCCCAGCTTTCCCCTCCTCGCAGTCCGTCAAGTCGTAGAGGTTCCCTGCGCCGACCAGAACCTCAAGGACTGCGGCACCGGCTGCATCCAGACCGACTGGACATGCTGTCCTAGCAAGGCAGGCGGATGTCCTCCTACAGCTTACTGCGAAGTCGGATCGAACCAGCAATACGGATGCTGTCCTAATGGCAGTATCTGCAATGGCGAGGGCGGTGGTACTACTCGTGCCGATACGACTACTATTGTTCAGGGTGGAGGTGGCACGGAGACTCAGTCCCCCATCTTGGAGGGATCTTCGACTGCTGTTATTGTTCCTCCTCCTGTTGATACCGCCTCTGTTCCTCCGGTTGTTCCGAGCCCTGTTGCGCCGGTTCCCGTGCCCGGAACACCCTACCCCACGCCCAGCACGGTTATCGTCAATGAAGGATCATCTAAGAAGTTTAGTTTGGTTGGTGTTTTGGCTGGTATCGCTGCAATCATCTTCTGATCCAGCAAAGTTTTCTTTGTCGTGGGAGGGGAACAGGCTGTTTGCCTGAGTGATGGTCTGGGTTAAATGGATATATATTGTTGGAGGACCGGGCAAACAACTTTGGAAGATGAAATGTGACACGCCCGAGTGTCCAATGGAATGTAATTACTTGAAATCAATTGAGAGATATTGATGTACTTGCTGAACTTCACTGAGAGGAGCAATAACTTGTTAGTGCAGTCAAAAGATCTTGCCGAGATGTACGAAACTGGTCATGCGAAAAATGTGGTATCTATTAATGCTATGTACTATACGTTAAAGCCAGAGACACATGTCGTCCGGCAATATTTTCTCATAAATCATCGCTTACTCAATCTTGACGCAGACCTTGCCCTGGTGCTTGCCAGACCACTGGTACTCGTAAGCCTCACGCAGCTGCTCCAAAGAGAAGATCTTGGGGTCAACGACAGGTCGAAGCTTATCAGGGTTGGCCTCAATAGCACGGCACATATCCTCCATCTGAGTGCGGCTTCCAACAAGCAGACCTCGGGTGGTGCAGAGGTTGGAAAGGCAGTCGAGGAAGCCAGGATCGTTCTTACCAGTGCCGCCAACGAAGCCGATGATTGAGATGACACCGTCGATCTTGACGGCGTTGAGGGACTGCTTCATGGATGCAGGGCCAGCAACCTCGATGATGTGGTCGACACCAGCACCGCCGGTAAGCTCCTTGGCCTTGGCTCCCCACTCAGGAGTCTCGCGGTAGTTGATGATGTGGTCAGCACCAAGCTTCTCAAGAAGCTTAGCCTTCTCAGCAGAGCTGGTAGTAGCGATGACCTTGGCTCCAGCAGCCTTGGCGAACTGAACAGCAAAGATACTAACACCACCAGTACCCTGGGTGAGAACCCACTGGCCGGGGAGGAGCTTCTTGCCCTCGAGACCGTACAGACCGTTCCAGGCAGTGAGACCAGCGCAGGTGAGAGTAGCGGCCTCAACGAAGTTGAGGTTAGAAGGCATGGGGACGAGACCATGCTCATCGAAAGCACCAACGGTGCGGAAAGTTCCGTCAGTTACACCACCGAGACCGGTCTGGATGCTGAGCTGGTCGAGAGAGCCGCCGATGTGGCCCTGGTTGAAGAGAGTGACAACCTTGTCACCGGGACGGAAGCGGGTGACGTTCTTGCCGACGGCAAGGACAGTGCCGGCGCCATCGGAGCCGGGGACGACGCCGTCCCTGGCGGGGAAGGGGTACTTTCCGAGAGGGAGAATGAGATCGCGGTAGTTGAGGGAAGCACCCTGGACTGTGAAGTGTTAGAAGATTGTTGTGAGTGTGAGAAGTAAACTGGGGACTTACGCTTGACGAGGACTTGGCCGTCACCGAGCTCGGGAACAGACTTCTCGCTGAACTTCAGACCGCTAAAGTCCTTTCCATCACGAGAGGGGATGGTCCATTGCTTGACAGTCTTGGGGATAGGTTGAGCCATTGTGAAGTATGAAGTTGAAGCTGTGAAGATGCTGTGTAAGGTTCGAATTGTATAAGTTTTATGATGATACCGACTATCAACGACACTTGGAGTAGTCTATATATACTTGCCAATCGATCAAATAAGAAAAAGTCTTTATAAAGAAACCGTCAAGTTAATTCTCGAAACATGCAGATTTGTAAGGAACCAACGTCTGTGCATGAGATTTGTAACCCATCATCCAGCCTTGCAATCCATACCATAACCATCACTGACGTAACTCTTGACGTTTTACCGTGATAGCTCTTCTCCAGTTGTGGCAACGCTTCAACTGCCGGGCCATGGGAGCCAATGACGGGCTTGGGACTAAGAGTTCCGAGTTCCACTTGTTTCTGTAGATAATGAAGCCATCATGTTTTTTTTTCTTGCTGCGGTCCACTGCCCGCTCGCTACCCACACGGATCCGAAGTGTCAAAGCTTCTCGTTCCCGGTTCGAGCATCAAGAGCCGCCGGTTGCTCGGGGCGTTACCGCTTTCGGTGGTGATGTTGATTGACGTTGTTGTTGGAGTGTGGAAAAAAGTCATTGGAGGGTGTGGCGCCTTGGCCCATGACTCGTGGGGTTCATGCAGCAATTGAGCATATGCATGAGTGAGTGAGTGCGTGAGTTTGGAACATGGTAGCAACAGCCTCGTATTGGATCGAAAATACTACCTACACTGTAAGATTGAAGTAAGAACTTCATCAATTGGAACGCATTATCAGCTGTAAACCCGTCGCAATTGGAAATAATTGGGTCATGAAGCAACAACGATAACGTTACCGGGGCTTTCCTCTATAATGCCCCGCTAACTGTCATCTGTCATCAACACCATCTCATCTCCAGATTCTCAATCCGTTCCCATTCTGCGCCATCACATAATTCCCCCGATCACCCAATCAATGGCACAGGCAAAGGCTCACATCAACCTTAATGGCCTCGGTCTTCAGCTCCCAAGCTCCAGTGGATCCTCAGCACCGCCGACCCCTCGTCGGCCCCTCACGCCAGCGGCACCACCGACGGGCTTGGTTGTCTTCTCGGGTGGTAGCGCCGCTAACAACCTCGTCGACGTCTTCGAGAGCGTTCGAGAAGCGAATCAGTGCACGCTGAGCTACGTGATACCCATTTCTGATAATGGCGGTAGCAGTAGTGAGATCATCCGTGTCTTTGGTGGACCTGGTATGTATTTCCACGTGGCTCTTCTATATGCTAGTGTTGACTGACAGGGTTCGCTAGGTATCGGAGATGTGAGGTCCCGACTTGTACGTCTTATTCCGAATGATGGAAGTTCTGAGACGAGAGCTATCAAGCACTTCTTCAATCATCGCTTGCCAAAGGTCTACACTGAGGCTAGATCAGAATGGTTTGAGATTCTAGAAGCGACGCATCCTCTCTGGAATGACATCTCATCGCCCAAGAGGGAGCTCATCAGATCTTATCTGAATAGCTTCAATCTCGAGGTTGTGAAGCGCATGAAGCCTAGCAGTCGCTTCGATTACTCTGGAGCCAGCATTGGAAACCTCTTCCTCACAGGCGCTCGTCTCTTCACCGGTAGTTTCGAAGCTGCCATCTACCTGTTGAGCTCAATATGTTCAGTGCCGGATAGAATAGCAGTCCTTCCAGCGCTCAACACCAACTTTGCTAGCCATATCGCTGCTGGTCTTGAAGATGGCACGATAATCACAGGTCAGAACGACATCTCGCATCCCAGCGCTCCAACTGCCGCTGTGCCTGGAGCATCAGCTGGTGTACACAGCCCAACAGTATCGCGACAGGACCATCCATGGGACCAAGATCATCACCATGTCGAAGACGCGAACTTACCAGGCACCCTACCCGCGCTGCGCCGACCGGCCATTGCATTCTCCAAAGAGCAAGAAGAAGATCTGCCCGCAAGGATCGCCCGAGTATGGTACATCAATCCATACGGTGAGGAGATCAAGATGCCCGCAAATCCAAGAGTTCTCGACGCACTTCGATCTGTGCACAGCGTAGTGTACAGTATCGGCTCTCTTTTCACATCATTAATCCCAAGTCTTGTCCTCCGCGGCGTCGGTGATGCGATCGTCAGCCCGCAAGTGCGGAACAAGATCCTCATTCTCAACGGTACAACCGATCGTGAGACTGGTCCTTCAACGGCGCCTTTCACAGGACTAGACTTTGTGGGAGCTATCGCAAATGCTCTCGCCGACTCAAGAGGCCTACCCAAGCCTACGGAGGAGGAGTACAGTCAATATGTGTCGCATGTCATTTACATCGAAGGACCGACGTCGCCAAAGGTGGACAAGCCGCTGTTTACACAATTAGGTATAGATGCGACGAGGCTGTATGGTCCGAAGGATGAGAAGGGAAGAGGTGGACGATATGATGCCAAGGCTTTGACTCAGGCGCTTGAGACTATCATTGGAAGAAAAGATGCTCGATCTGACAGAAGCCGTCGAAATACTCTGGTGGGTTAAATGTTAATGGATACCTGGGGGTGCTATAATGAGAACTGAATGGGTTCATGAGGGACTCGCTTTACATGGACGGGATCATCGGCTGTAAAGCAAGATGAGGCGATTAAATATGATAAACATAGAAAAAGAATTGTATTAGATGGTATATCGCCGTGGTATGCATTCAAACTCCAGGTCTGACCATAATGCCATTTCCACCACAATTCTCAAGACGCCAATCGCCCAATCCAACCCAACCCAATCCTTTCCAAGTAACTCATTCCCAAGGCCGTGACCCAATAGTTTCCTCCGCTCATTAGACCTCAGCCGGCGAAAAGATCAAGTATGCCATGACAACAGGCCACGCCGTCGATAATAGTAAAGCGCCCATAACTGAACCAAGCGACATTCTAACGCGATCGTAGGGACCCTTCCATCGGTCGATGAGGGCGCAGGTGCTGAAGATCATGGCGCAGGCGTAGAGTGACGATGCCCAGAATATGCCGAGGAACATGTCCGAGTGTCGGTCTTCAGGGCTGAGGACGACTTTCGAAGTGTCGGGGACAAAGGTTGAGGAGAGATTGTTACCCATATTGATGGATGTAAGTGGTGTATGCAGGTATGTGTGTTGAGTGAGGTGGTGGAGGTTGAGTCGCAAAGGAGGGTTGCAGCAAAATCCTTCGAATTAAAATAAATGGTACAGGTTATTAAGTCACTCGCCAGCGAGGAAGAAGAAAAGAATGAAGAGAGATTTTCCAGCAAAGATGCTCATTCTTTGAAGAGCGAATGGCTCTCACAAAAGAGAAGAACATCTCGCATGAGACCTTACAGGGGTCATACCACCCATCACAGCTTCAGCCAATGGGAGCCTCAGGCCTGCGATTCACTGCGGTCGGGGCCAAGACGACCCGGTCGCGGATGCGTCTCGTTGGTTGAAACATCTGCGACTCTGCAACTGAGGGACCAATTGAGGATATTCCTTAAGCGCGCGGTCGTGATGATCAGCTTTTAGTTTGTGAGCTGATGATGAGGCCATTCACATTGTCACAGACATTAATAAACTCTATTTCCCTCCTCTCACTTGATCATTTTCTTTTCTTTGAGACCATTTCTTGGCCGGTATTGATCAAATGTTTGGTCGGTCAACTCCAGCCTGTTTTCAGATCTGTCTCAGATCTGGGACGATACCGGGATGTGACGTTGGTAAAACCTGCACGCAAAACAGCAAAACACTACACTAGCCTTGTAGAAAAGTTGGATAATACCCCGTATTCAGACGATTTATTGCTGTTCTATATGTATAGCATTGATTAATATTGCTTGGCTTGATGGTTCTTGGCGGAGCTGAAACGGGCTTGTTCATCCAACTTCTCGGATCGGGGGTCAACCGGGCTGCCCCACTTCGGAGGCCCAGGCATTCGGGAGATGCATGTGAATTTATTTGTCTTGGATGGGTCGTGCTTTGGGGGGATGCTTCGATCGGAGATTGATTGAACTCTATTCTACATTTGCAGAGTCAGATATTCGTCTGAAGTCATAAGTACTTGGCGATGGTGGCGGTCGAAAGAGGAAAATGCCGTGAAACCACTGTCCCCACTACTGTTTTCAGCGCCCAGAGTCTAGGGTATGTAGAAATACAGTAAACAACTGCTCGCTTTCGACGTTTCCTCCTACACTGGAGTACAAGAGCTCTATCATGAGATAAACTGATGCTCTAACATAGCTGGAGCTGTCTAATAGCTATTAATTTTTTGTGAGCTTGGAACAGGACGTTGGTACATGTGGCAAAAAGTGCCCACAGGGCCAATAAAACCGTCAGTCAGAAAACGAGTATATCACGAGAACTCCATCTAAAGCATCGACTTACACCAGACCGTATTAGTACGTACCTCAGGTCACAATGCATTTTTTGCTCGAGGAAGTTTATCATCTCCGCGCTGCCGAACTGCCAAGTACATCCCAGGATATAATTTGATGCCATACCTAATTTAATCTTCCACAGCTAGGGGGAGGTTTGCAACCATGTGTCTCAACAAGACCGTGACTACTTATGCCTTGTCACTTTACGTAGAACCTTCTAGCTAGGAACCAACCTAATGAAGTTCCTGTAGAGACATAGGAAGACTAGTCCTAAAAGCAGCTACGATAATTTCATGAACCCGAATCCTTAACCTTAGTTCCTGTGCCTGCCTGTTCTCCAAGAGATGATTTCTTTGGGTCAATTTTAGATACAAAATGGAGATGCTGGTTCAAAGTGATTAAAGAATGCCCTAAAATTGAACAGTCAGCAGCAGGAAAAGAGTTTGTGAACCAAAAAGTAACTTACCTTTGACGTTTGTCCATCTTTTGTTCGTTGCCGCGTATACAAGGAGCAAGCATGACGCAAGTGAAAACGCATAAAGCAACCGAGAAGTAGAGTCTCTTGGTATTTTATGTGCTGGTATTGGTTATCCAACATTAAGGTTGAGTTTCTTTACGAAGTGTTTGTAAGGTGGACGAGTAAAAGCCAAAGGAGTCTGTAAGCTGCCTATCTATATGCTTTCACGCGAAATTCAATATAAAACTCTTTCTTTTCGTCCAAACAAGTCCATTGGCGCAGTGACATCATCTCCTATTGTAAACTCTTATGAGGATTCTATTATTATAATAAGTTTCTACATAGAATTCACAATGGAGTCAAACTCAGAAAACTCTCATACAAAAAGCTTATAGACCTGCAAACAGCTATAAATACTGCCATCTCCCACGCTCAAGGGTCACGTAATTTGTATCTTGACCATCTTATCTTCACATACTACTACCAAATCATTCACCTCCATTCCACAACACCACAGACAAAATGGCCATCGTCCACGGATTCACAACTCAGATATTCCGTCTCTTGGGCATTCGGACCAAATACCCCGGCTACTCCAAACTGATCTACGATAGCAACGGGAAGATAATCCACTGCATCTGTGGGCCCAAGATCCAGCCGCGCGTGTTCAAGAGGCCTGATCCGGTCTTCTACAAGCAAGCCAAGCCCTCCAAGAAGATGTCGGAGGAGGAAACAGGGGAAACAGATATCATCTGGCGTATCAGGGAGAGCCGCGATAAGAAAGATTCTTAAGGCGCCACCACGTCGGCGACAAGAACTGAGGCTCGGGTCGGATGACTGGATGGTCGATGTGATACCAAGACGTCAGCGATGGAAAGCAGCTTACTCAGCTCATCACATCAAACACAAGAACGTCATGCTTAGACGACGCAAACACGAAGAATAAGAGCATCCACGAATGAAAGAGAGCTATATCCAGAAATACGTGGATTAAAAATGAGATCATGGACAAGACTCAACAAACGTCTCCCCCTCCCCCTATTCTCGCGGCTCCTTCACCTACCTGTTCAGGACTCATCCTAAGCCATCCCACGTTACACTCGGCAGGCTTCATCACATTTCAACAGGGATCAATAGCTTATCGAGACATAAATAACTAAGCTTAAATACAAGAATATCTGACATCTACTGGGGTCTTCTCGAGTATATGCTGTACCACACGGCTTCCCCGCCGCTCTCCCCACATCGAGCCTCTTGAACCAGATGGCCAGGTCTCGAGCCCATTAGGTCCAGCTGTAGCTATCTATCTACCTAGGCGTGTGCAAATTACAAACCCTCCCCCAGGAAACAGAACGCTATGTACCCACAATGCCATGTGCTGTTGATGACCTGTGGCGTATGCGCCTTGTTAGATCTAGTACCAAACTCTTTTACTCCCATTCTCCATCGTGTCGAGGACCCTAAATCGGTCAATCGTAATGCCGCCATCTTGGCATATAATGATCATCTATGTTATGATACGCATATCGACGATTAGCTTCTGAGGCCTGAAACGGATCCTGATAGGTTGGGTAATGGTATTGCTGTTGGCGAAGTGACCTCGGCATGCGCCGGGAGTCATGGCTACTAGTCCTGCTACTCGAGCGAGATGTTGCCCGAGAAGGAGAAACTGTATAATGATAGTACCTCTCTTGTTGTTCCGCTCTCTCGTCCCCATGGAGTGTGCAAAGGGTGGGGAAGAATGGAGAACCCCGTTCTCGGGGCGCACGGCAGCCTGGGGTGGTGCATGAATGGGCAAAGCAATATCCACCGGGGATTGTTGACTCATTGGTACATGCAGGCTCGGAGCAGGCGTGAGTTTGGCAGAAATGAGAGTTGGGATTGTTGTACTGGACAATTTCTGAACAGTCTGCTCTTTGACAAGTATGTCGGAAGCACTTCTGGGGGTGGGCGTGACCATGTCCGTTAGCAAAGTCGGGGCATCCAGGCGCGGAGCACAAGTCTACATTGGAGTGTTAGCTTTGCAAAGACCTGGGAAGCAAGTACATACGCATATGGCACCATCTCATAATCAGGCCATTATGAACATCCCGAGGCTGCAGGCAGCCCTGTTGGTCGCACTCGTGATCGGTACAGAATCTCGAATCTCCTTGGGCAAAGCCGTTGCAGGCCTGGAAGAACTCGCATTTTGAATGGTTCGCACAGAGCCTTGTTGGAGTTTTGTCGGGATCCCAAAGCGAGTAGTTCTTGCAGTCTCTCGAGGCTTCACAGCGTTGATGCTTATAGCACTTTTTCTTATCTCGACCTGCCATTTCATCATCCGCTAAGCTGAGTACTCGACGGTGGCAGTCGTCCACTCCACAATGGTGTTTCTTGCAATACCGTTCAGAACCATCCCGGTCGGAGTCGCACTTCGGCATCTTGCACTGGAACTCTTTGGAGTGCTCTTCACAGTATTGTGAGTTCTTATCGCGCAGCTCGTAGCACTGCTTGTCTTTGACCTTTGCCTTACAGGAGTCTAGGGGCGTCAGCATCCGGGCTTGGAACTAGAGCTGGGGTAAATGACTTACGATCGCGGCAAAACCATTGCTTGTGACCGATATAAGAGTATAGGAAATTGCCTCCTTCTATATCCAAGACCTTTGTACCGCATGTAGGCCAACCACATGTAGAGTCTGAGAGGAGTCAGCCATATTGGAAAGAGGAATTGGCAGGTCACTCACGGATGGAGCAGAACTTGTCCTTAGACCGCTTGCTGAGCTTGCACGCAGCTCCGAACTTGCAAGCATCTAGTAAAATGAGTCTCTGATTCTATAGGAACTTTGGGATTGTGCTCACGCTTCTCGCAGTGGATTGAATACTCCCTAGTCCTGTCAAACCTCCCTACCGGATTATGACACTTGTTCTCGTTGCATTCTGGTCGCGATTTGCTGCTACTGCTCCTACTGGCCCAAGAGCTCCCGCCTTTGCCGTTGCCCATTATGAAGGATCTCGTACAAGCTTGTATAGAACTGGCAGTCCCCGATGGAAGTGGGAAGACTAGATGCGTGATAAGATAGATACTCGCCAAAGTAAAAGTATACTGAGATATGTCGACGGCCCAAAAGAAGTTGAGGCTGATCAGTATGGGAGCCTGCCTAGCCGAGTTCGTCAAATTGCGTTTTTGACAGCTGTATTTTAGGGGGCATTATCCATCCTATATAGCTATGGGCTCAGTGTCCTTCCAAATCCTCGACACTGGCTGAGGTCAAGGCACGAATTAGCCGAGATCAGGCATATTCGCTAGAGGCTTAATCCAGTTCCTTTCGTGTAGCTATGTTGAAGGGAGTTACACATAGGCTGGGCTTCCATAGTATGCTTGATATTGTAATACCCCGGGAGCCAAGGACACAAATGTTGCCTGCCTGTACACCTTGGCTCCCTCTGCCCGCTGTGATAGATGATGAGGCGCAGTAAAAGCTTGACAGCGTCTTAACTTTGTCAATCGAGATCAGCCACGAACCCACATCATGAAAGATTATAGTTGAGATTCGTCAACCAAGGCTACCATGTTGGATTGTTGGAAGCTCGCTCAGCAATCACCGCCAGTTAGGTCCTCAGCAGTCACAAACTTGAGGACTCTGGGTGTCAACTCACAGCATCAACCTTCCCAGATCTCGCTACGTGTCTGACTGCACTCAAGTACTGATATCGGCACCACCCTCCTTGGTAGCTAACCTTCCCCCATCCTGGATAGAGGGACAGGAGGCAACCGCCAAACAGAAAGGATGAGAGTTCAAGTTTCATGCCTTGAGCCTCATAGTTGTGCATGCTGTGACCGTGATTGTGCTCGTGTAGCGAATAATGTCGTAGCTTGATCACTTGAGTTGCATGACTTTGCTATCTCAGGTTCCGTACCCACTGAGAGATGGCTCGTATCAGTCGTTTTCTGATCCTGAGAGATATGACCGGGCGTTCGTGACAAAGCTGAAGGTTGTTTGCGCTGCGCAAATTCCATGCCGACAAGGCAGCCATGTAACTGGGGGAAGCGCCTTTGGAACGCAGGACAAGTGCAGTATTTGTCATAAGGCGTCCTGGGTGCCAGATACAAGGTCTCATGGCGGTTTGCGTGAATGGAGAACTAACTATTTCTGTCAGCATCTATTGTTGGCATGTCGCAGTAACAATGGGCCAGTTGCTCTTGTGCTTCAGTTTACAAACATGTCACAATTTCGGAGAATTGGCGAAGTAACTATTGCTCGTGCTGATTGTCTGAGGCTCTTGAGGCATCATCTTGTTCTCATTACATAGAACCCTGACGTATGGAGAGAGCTAGAGTTATCGAGAGTGAAGCTAGACGTTTGATCGTTGACAAAGAGCGCTTGTAGACGTCGTAGAGGGGAAACTGGTCGATGCTGCGATGTTTGTTAATGCAACCCTCGACATACATTGCTTGCCACGCACCATGAGCAATCTCGAGACAGTCTTACTTGAAACACGATGTTATTGTTGTTGTTGTTGTTGTGCGAGTTTAGGCACTGAAAGTGATCACGGGTAGTCGTTGGGAGAGGAGATGAAGAATAACATGTTTTTGATATTTGCTAAGGCAGAAGGAACCAACCATTTTCAGGGGCCTTCCAGTCAGTCAAAATGCGCTATCCACTTCCCCTCACAAGCTCCCTTGGCTCCTGCTGAACTCCAGTCCCACTTTGTCGCTCATTCATCTTGCCGCCTTCCCCCTACAACGCAACGACTTTTTGTGATTTTGGATCTTGCAACTAACAACACAAATTTGATCCAACAAAACAACTGCCGATATCATATGACCGCCTCAAGCGCTGCACAAAGCCGTTGCACTACCGCGCATGAACTTGCACTACTTAGTGCGACTGCATTTTGGAGATGTTCGTACTCGGTAGACAAACACCAACGCAGATAACGATTGCGCGTGGAATACCAGATGACGAACATTCTACAATTTGTCACGTCAGTCTTGTGTAGTCTCGTTTAATCCAACATCTGATTAGCTGATGCCCATCATGACTGATAGTCTGATAGTACAAACTCACCCGACAACGGACCAACATAGATACCTGCGCGGATGGACTCGGGCGGAGCCACGACAGCTTCAGTCTGAATACAGCAGGCTCGCGCTAGCTATCAGCCATCCTTCGATTTAAGTCTGGTGACAAAACGCAGTGACGGTGTCGACTCCTGAGGTACGGCCAAGGCAGCGATCATGGTATGATCATAGCAAGAGTTGGACGACACTCCAACATGCGAGGTGGCTTGAGCTGAACCAAGGCCATCAGACCAGATGGGGAGCCATGGTTCGCCCAGACCCATTCGAGGTACAAGCTCGTCGCCTAACCGTCTATGAAAGGACAGGTACTCATCAATCGCAGGCAATCCGATTTCTTGAGCCACCAAACGATCGTCGATGCCCTCACTCGCAAGCACTGCTTTCAACCCGTCAGTCATACACAAACGCAGCATAGGACATAATAACGAGGCTTCTTACCTTAACCGACATCATCCCGACATTGACTCATTGATGATTGACAACAATCGGGCCCGCCGTGATCTGTCTCTCAGCTGCATCCATCTCAGCGACATATCTTGAGAGCGGGTGTCGAAGCATTTAAATATGACTTTGACCCTTGCACATTGTCCTTCCTCCATATCTTCGCAAGATCTGCCAGTTTTAGATCCCGCTCTCAGCTGCCAGGGGTTATGGACTGCTCACCTAAGCATATTCATCAAATCCCAGGAACTGCCAGCCAAGCAATCTTCTGCATAGCCGATTGTGTGACCATATCGCCCTGATATAGGCAAATCAGACCACATAACCTGGTACCATCTCAGGGTGCCTTCATCGGACCGAATCTATGAAAGATTTCTTCCCAATTCATCGGCAGTTGATTTGATTGCTGGTCAGATCGGACGAAATAGATGGATGGAAGCAGTAACGTGGCACAAAGCCGTTGCGGTGCTTTCTTCGGTACGAACTTCTTCCTTGTGAGAAATGTAGGACCAACGGTCGTTCTGTTTCTCTTCCTTTCTGTGTCTTCTTTGTTACCCGAAGACACGTTTTGCCACGAGAAGTTTACTATGACTTCTTTGGAGCAGTTCGACTTATCGAACAATGGCCCAGCCCAAGCATCAGGAAGCAGAAAGAGAGTGTGGTATCATGTCTGGTGACGAAAAATCAAAATGCTGCCAGAGTAAACCACCTCAAAGACCTAAGGATGAATATTTCGACGAAGAGGACTACAAGTTCATAAGTATTGGAGAATCTAATCATGCTGTTAGGTCTGAGTAATACTGGTTACCTGTGTATGCGTACAAGTTTCTCATCTGACTTTTCATCAGCAAGTTGCCCATACCTCGTCCGATATGAAGCCAACCCCCCTCAACTCCCGGACCACATCGCACGTCCTCTTTCTAGAACTCTGACGTCTCCCCAAAGAACTCATACGAGCCCCTGATCGAGACATAGACTCCCAAAACTGTTTCCGCAATCATTGCATACGCCATACATCGAAACACTCCAGGTTCGTCACCATCCTTGTCTAGACCTGCATCTCTAGATATGTCTCAGGGCATGAAACACAGACCAATTTCAAGACTGTCTTATCAATACTGATTAGTGCAAAGCACAATAGAATCGCCCCTGATGTACGCCTCATTCTATATACCACAGGAGAAGTATTCAACTCAGATGCGAGTTGCTGAAAAGATGATGTTCATGGGGCTGCCTCATTTCAAGGACACTCAGTCGAGATGCAAGGAATGCAACAGAAAGGTGGATAGCCCAGTCCAGATATCGGTTGGCTACCAACTTCGGAAAAACAATGCTCTTTTCATGACTGTCAGGCCTGTGCCTCCCAAGTCAAAGTGCAAGGTTCGTTCCCCTGTCCCTTCTCGGTTAAAGTTGCGAGTCATCTTCTGACGTATGATCTCTAGTGACCGGCCATCGGCTTGGGGTGTCATTCAAAGCATCTATTGTATCTGCCGACGCTACACTTGCTTGTTATCAAGTTGTCTCTTGGGCATGTGCTGGATGGATCATGCGGCCCTTGGGGTATTCAGGATATTGGCCTGAAAGAACTACAGAATTTCTCGCTCGAAACCAATCCACATACATGAATACAGATGCGTAGTTAGCGTATTTGAACTTTCCAAGTTGATCGGCGCATGCCTTACCGCCTGTGTGACGTTCCGAGGCAAACTGCCGGGTCTGAGGAACGACATCCACCCCAGCCCAACGATCAAGCCTAGCTTTGGACTTGTTGTTCATCTTGGAACCTACCCTTGCCAATTGATATCTACATCTGGCCCGATGTCGCAGTCCGGATCTGGGTTAGTTTTGAGTGTCTGAAATCTATACAGACTACTCGATCTGATACTCCACTTGCCTTACACAACACATCGATGCTCCTATGATTTTGGTCGGGGCTGTTCCACACATACATTGCTATCTCACATGACCGAAAGAGTTGAGATAGCTAAGCTGACTCTTGGTAGACTTGTGGTTATTATTCCGCAATGCCGAGTTCCAATTGCATCTTCCAGTCTCATACGCTCATCGGGCCTACCGTCTTCTCTCCGTCTCCCACTATAAAGCCACCTGCTTCCCTTCTGCTTATACAACTCCCTTTTAAACATAACTTTCGAGTCCAAGCTAACATTGAGCTCTCGGACAGGTGTTTCGGACCCCATGTTACGAAAAAGTCAGGATCCATTCCTCCAACACCGCAGTCCTCCACCGAAAACGAAGCTAAATATAAAGAAACCACTGATTTATCTCAGCATTCATACTTAAAGATGCCAAGGAAGTTCTTCAATCTCCATCAGATTGTCGTGTCAGTCCTTGTCCTCCGATGAAAGAACGCCTGGACTCCGGAGGAGGCTGCCCATCCATAATCTGAGACTCTCAACATACCCCATCATCCCATGCTGGCGCCTCTTGGTGTTCAGAATCGCATCTGGTATCAGGAACCGTGATTCATCTTAACCACGGCGAGGTGGGTAGATTACGTTTTGCTTGTAGATCCATAAGGTGAACGATGTGTGACTCGAGAATCATGTGTACTTCCCACTGGGAATGGTCCTTCGTAGTAGTGAGAGAATAGGCTCGGAAGTGCTAAAGGCTAAAATAAAGCGGATATCATGTCAAGAAGAAGGAAGAAACCTCTGAGCCAACCACAATGGGGGGCATATTATGCCACAGGAAAAGTATGGAAGTCATCGCGCGAGGAGTGCTCTAGCATATCGCAGAGCTGAGTATATGATTGATCATCATGGGTGAAGTAAAGACCCGCGATGGCTCACATATGGTCAGTACGCACCAAATGATTCATGCCTTGTCATTAAATGCAATTGATCCTCAATGGTAATCGGATAGGTACGCAATTCATCACACATATAGGGTGGTTGTGAGGCCAATCAAGTATTATGCCCAAGGCTGTAGGCAGCGCGACGAACCAAGACATCACGAAAGCAGAGCTGGTTCAAAAGGTGCATGATTCTATTCATCAAGCTAAGCGAAAAAAAAAACTTCACCGGCCATTGACGTAACTGGCGCGCGGCTACTATGTCCTCCCAAAAAATTGCTGTCCAAAAAATACCCTCGTTTGGCTTGTTTACTCCAACTTGGCGCTGAGAGGCAGCTTGCGAGAGCTGCTTCCAACCCAGACCGTCTTGGGGTGGTCAGTGATGACCCAGTTCTGGGCATTTGTATCCCAGTTGCTCAGATCGCGGCGGGTCAATTGAGCGTTGAAGATGGCGCTCTGGCCAGGGGCAATGTTCTCGATACGGTCGAAGCCGCGGAGGACACGAACGGGCTCGTTCTCGCCACCGAGGCTGACATACAGCTGGGGAATCTCGTCGGAGGTGGCGTTGCCTGTGTTGGTGATTGTGGCTGTGACGGTGTACAAGATGTCCCACAATTGAGGGTTACCACCTGGGGCACCAGAGGCGGGAAGACGAGGCTGGGCTGAGCCGTTGAGGGCGTTGGGAGGGAGGAACTCTTCGGCAGTCTTACCAAACTGGCCGCCGTCGTTGGAAGCCTCGCTCGCGGATGAGGAAGTGTTGAGGAAGGGGTAGATGAACTTGTAGATGTATCGGACACCCTTGGGGAACACGTAGTCGTTCAGGTTCTTGCTGAAGTTGCCAAAGGTTGGGGCGGGGATGGTCTGGCCAGCAGGAGGAGAGTAGGGGTTCTCGACATTCTTCTGGATGTTGAGATCAGAGTACTCAAAGGTGGACCAAGATAGACCGTGACCGAACTCGTAGAGAGGAGCAGCGGTGTTGTTGGGAGAGCTCTTTCCATCGGTGCTGGGAGATCGTCGATCGAAGTGACGGTAGTCAATGAAGACACCCTCAGAGAAGTCATCCTGAGGAGCGCCACGGCCGTTGTTCGCCTCATAAAGAACCTCGGTACCGTAGCTCTCACGGGTGCGGCCCCAAGTGAAGGGAGATCGACCAGGGCTGACCTTGCCGTAGAGGAGATCAGCGATGGCATTGCCAGACTCTTGGCCGGGAAGACCAGCCCAGACGATGGCGGTGATGTTGGGGTTCTTCTCGTAGTCGGCGAGTAGGACAGGACCGACGGTGTGCAGAACTACAATGGTGTTGGGGCATATGGACGAGACGTTCTTGATGAGCTCGTCTCCCTGTTGCCAGAGGGTGAGGTTCTTGCGATCGCCGAAGTTTCCATCGACTTCAATGTAGCCTTCACCAGAGTCGGCGTTGGCGAAAACGATAGCGGTCACGTTGGGCTGGCTGACAAGAGCTTGTACTGAGGCCCATTCGTTGTTGGTCAAGATGCTCTCATATCGAGTTCCGTCTTGAGTAGCACGGTTAGAGAGCCCTTGATCGGGAGTGATTAAGTAGGGGAACTGAGAAGTTCCCGAGCCCCAAGCCATAGCCAGGGTACCATTGTCGCAACCACGGTCACCGCAACCATTGGGTCCAGCAGGGTTGGGACCGGCGTCTTCGCCAATGACAGCGAGGAACTTGGGGTTCTTGAGGGGAAGGGAGCCGGTGTTCTTGAGGACGACGCTTCCCTTGGCAGCGGCCTCACGGATGTGGCTCTTGTGGTCGTGCTGGACGTTGACACCAAAGTTGACCTGTTCGCGGTTCTCTTGAGCAAATGTATGGACGAAGCCGAAGGTGTCGCGGGTCCAGGAGGAGAAGTTGATGTCGGGGAGATCCTCTACCGTCCTTCCAACCTTGAAGAAGGCCGACATGATTCGCAGAGCCATGTCGTCAACTCGCCAGGCGGGAACAGTTCCGTTGATGACAGCAAGAGTCAGGTTTCCGCCCCAGAAGCTGTATCCGCTGTCGAAAGCAGTGTCACCAGGCATACTCATGTCGAGACCAGCGACGGCAGAAGCGGCACCGGTATGCTGGGCCGCCCAATCGCTCATGACGAAGCCCTGGAAGCCCATCTCGTCCTTGAGGAGACCGTTGAGGAGCTTGGAGTTCTGGCAACCGTACGAGTTGTTGATCTGGTTGTAAGAGCACATGACGGAGCCGACGCCGGCGCGGACGGCATCAGCGAAGGGCCAGGCGTAGAGCTCGTGCATAGTCTTGTCGTCCAGGTTGGAGGAGAGAGACTCGGAGATGTTGTACTTGCGGGACTGAACCTCGCCACTCTGTCGGAAGTGCTCTACAAAAGGTCAGTTTTCTGTCAATTCTTCAAATCGTACAATTGGCTTACCCTGCTCGTTTGCGATGTAATGCTTAGCACAAGCAATGACACCTGCGTCTTGGATACCCTTGACGACCTCGGCCATGGCGTGACCAGCCATATAAGGGTCAACAGTAAAGCCCTCCCAGTTTCGTCCACCAGCAGCAGTGCGGCCAAGAGGTCCAGTAGCAGGACCAAGAGCGATATCGATACCCTTCTCCTTAAACTCAGTACCCATCAGGAGACCTCTCTCATACCAGAGAGACTTGCTCCACGAAGCACCAGCTGTAGTTCCAGCTGGGAAAGCGCTGTTGTAGTCGGACAGACGAATTCCAAGAGGACCATCCTGAAGACAGAGACCTCGCATACCAAGACGAGGAATTGATCCCACGTTTCCTACACAGCGTTCGCCTTGCCATCTGAGAGGTCGTTAGCTGAGGGGACAAAGATGCACTGTTCGCAAGGAGCTACTTACCCAACACCAGTGGTCAAGTTGACCTTTTCCATGAGAGTGAGCTGGGACACAAAGCTCTTGGCTTTGGCGTAAGCTTCCTCCCAGCCAACGGCATTAGGATCCATCCATGGTGAAGGATAGTGAGGAGGCGAGTATGCGAGTGTATCTCTCGTGACAACCTTTTGAGCGTCAGTTTTCTGATCAACAACCGCCACAGCAGACGCCGCCGCGCATAACGTCGGTAATATTGAAAGGCGCATTTTCTATAATTGTGCGTCTCGAATAGAAAAGTTTATTCAAACAAGGTTTGAGCGGTCAATTGCGCCCAGATTTGGTGGTCCAGAGGCAGAAGAAGACAGCCACGTAAATGCACACCTGAGAAGCAACTTGATGTCGACAAACTCAATGAGAGACTGTCTCGGGGGTTTTTGTGTAGACTAAGGGCGCTGACAATTGCGGAGGGAAGATCGTAAGAGGAAACAAGGCTGCAAGGGAGGAAATGATCGCGATCTGGTGCGTAGCGTCCGAGCGAACAAGGGCGATATGGCAACAAGGCTGAGATTAGATGAGGAAGTGGTGTAAAACTAACCTTTACACCAGCCAAAGTGTCTGGAACTGCAGAAGCAAGAGCAACTGCGCTGTCAGTGCCAGCAGCACCTATAGACAGGGCTGCGGCGACCCAATTCAGCTTCATATTGATGGAATCTTCCTATAATATATACAATATCTATAAAATTGGTGAGTCTTTGTTATAGCGGAGAGGGATCAATGCCGTCGATTTAACATTGAGGGAGAGGGTAGACTAACAGGCTAGTCCAATATATTGGAATGAAGGGGACCAAAGTTGAAGGGAGCAAGCCACAACGAAGAACTTTATCGACGAGTGTGAGGAGGGGAGAGAAGCCTCAGAAAAGAGGTGGTATTTAAGATTTATATATTCACGAGATTAAACATTGTCACCACGTGCAGCTACAGCGAAGAACACGCACGACAGCTGCAGTGCTTGTAGCTTGTAGGTAAGGATAGTCTAAGTTCAGTGAATGGGCACATCTGAACCCTGTCCTAAATGCTACTCCACTAACTAACTAACAAGCACTGCACATCCCTTCCCTCACGGACGAGGGCCGCCTCTCCCGAAGCTTAGCAGAGATTAAAAATGCACTACCACAAAGGGTTCATCGTCATCAAATGCTGTGTCAATGTACCCCACAGCGTGATGCCTTGACCTTGGGACATGCAGCTGGGGAGGGTCGATCACGGCTGGCATTGGACAATTGTCTCGTTCTTGGGTCGTGGGGTAAAAAGGGCCGATGTTGGAGGCAGCTTTAGACCCAAAGGAAGCAGTTCAAGAACTCGTCTGACCATGGATGGACGGGACTTACATGAAGGGGAGAGAGGGCATGTAGTATTTGGACTGGAGTCTCTTGACGTCACATCGTTTACTGCCTCGGACCAGACCCGAATTGCATTGCATTGTTCCTTTGTTTACCCAGAACTGATGAGCAGATGTTGCTATAGTCTAAGTTTGTGGCCTCTTGGATCATGAGAGTGTCGATCTCATCTGATAAATTCCCAACACGAAGACCCAACGTTGCACTACAGAGTACACCTCGTCAGCTCAGAACCTTGATCGACATAGCTAAATTTACCCAAGGTCGCGCCCGCTCTCCCTCCCAGATCCTGTAATTTAATATAATTCAAGTAAAACCCAAAGTCAAAAAAGTCTAAACCGCCCCAATTGCCCTCACCTCATTCACGCATGAGTCCTTGCACTTTAATTACGGAGGGTTTTTTCTTTTCTTCCCTTGATCAATTGCCGAAAACAACACCAGATTTTTGGGACATATTTCCCCGTCATCATCACTAGATTCCCCACGATGCCCTTGCTCCCCCGCCCCCTTGGAACCTTTTACTCTTTCTTCCCCGCATCCTAGAGAAAACTAACCCCGACCCCAGCGATCGTCTGCGTCCGAAGAACCACCGCGGAATGTCGGGCCTAGAGGCCGTATCCATTTGATTCCAAGTCGTGATCATCTTTGTCTTCTTGGCGATATAGCAAGAGTCTTATTGTTCTGTAGCTGTCTACGAGGGTGATGGGTGCCCTGCTGGGCTCGTGAATTGGCGCTGTTCCTTGGATGTCGGGGATCAGGAAGATGTGATATGCTACGTTGTAAGTCAAAGGCACAGCAGCACAAGCTTGGGTGGTATGCAGATGCACCTTGTTTAAACGGTCAAATCATTATTAAGTAGCTTTCTATGGTAGCTTACTGTCTTTCTAGGCAAGTATGTCAGCTCCATCTAATGCGATTTCATCCTTTCAAGGATCATCATGATACCCCCTAGCCCATTACATGAATCAATGCCATCATTGACTCCATAGAATACACTTTTTCCCTCCCCGGGCCGTCATACCGCCAACGTCTCTAAGCGTCGTGGTACTCGGTCTAATTATTCTGAACTCAAGCTAAGAAACCCCATTCATAAATCAGTAGATACCAGGGATGATTCGGTATCGAACAATCTTGCGGTACTCCTCCCAGTCCTTGCCGTACTTGCGGTGGCACTTGTCGTCGTCACGTCTCTCGCGGTGAACGAGGAGGATAGCAAAGTACAGGATGTAGAAGTAGGTGATGAGCATGCCCCATCCCTTAGCTTCGCCCTGGATAACCTCTCGACCGTCTTGCATAACCCAAGCGCCCTCGGCATGAGTCCCGGCGCTGAGGATCTGGTAGCCGGCGAGACCGGTAGGGAGACAATAGGGCCACGACTGGATCCAATCGCCCAGGTAGTTGATGTGACGGGCGATTCCCCACCAGCCTGTCGTGAGGAGCTTGCTGCCCTTCTGGGTCTGGATGTACTTGAGGTGAGAGATTCTGGGGTCGTCGGGGTTGGTGCGGAAGCGGTTCTTCTCGTTGTTGGCTGAGCGGAAGATGTAGAAGCCAAGACCGATGAGACCCAGCATACCAGCTAGGCCGAGAGGGCCGAGGGAGACAGGGTGAACGGAGAGATATCGGGTCTGCAGCGAGTAGACATATGGCACCCAGACAATATCGCCAAAGGCCAACATCATCCCGAAGCCGTCGGTGGTGATATCCATGGTGGTCAAGATCGCAGGCTCATTCCACCAAGAGTCGAAGACATACAGGGCCTGAACAGCGGTGATGAGGATAGAGCTATCGGTCACGAAGCCATAGTTGCGATACTGCTGGGCGCACCACGAACAGTTCATAATAATCCAGCCCATCATTCCAGGTCGAAGCTCAAGGAACTCCTTAATGTCAACCTCGCCGATGAGAGGGATCGAAATACGGGGGTTCAGTTCACGACCGATGAACCAATCATACAGCATGTTTCCAGAGTGGCCTCCAGCAGCAAGCTCACGGTTCTCCTTATTTCCGGGCTTGACGCTAAAGCTTCGAACGTAGACAAAGGTGGACACGAGGTAGGAGTAGATGATGTTGGCGGAAAGGATCTGGATGAAGTTCTCCGACATAAAGGTCCAGATCGGAAACTCGGCACCCTGAGCAGCGGTTCCAGCGGCAAGGACGGCCAGGGTGAAAGTGCTAGAGTACAAAGCTGCGAAACACGTTAGAAACATCTTCCCTCTCATCATTCCCAGGTTTTCACGAACTGTTAAATCGGTACTTGAGTTTTCCTCCAGAGCGCAACTCGGTACCCTCAACTTCAACCGCGGGGAGAACACGGTAGAGGATCAGCGAGAGGACGTTGTATCCGATCACAGCGGCGGTTCCCTTCCAGCTGACCAGGCCAGCGACGCCATTGCTGGGCCATCCGACTTCGTGTTTCAAGGCATCGAGCGACAGGGTCTTGGGGTGAAGCAGAGACGGCGCGGGGCAGCCTGAGATGTCGTTGCAGACGAAGTTGAAGACGTATACGAGGATGGGGAGGAAGAACGAGATGACAAAGGCGCCAGGACTGAGAATTTTGTTAGAGAAGAGTGAGGGTAAGGAGATGTCTTGAAACTTACGGGCCGAAGAACTCGTAGCCGTGTTGCTCCTCTGAAGCTGGCTGTTTATCTTTGCCAGCCATGTTTGAGATTTTGACGAGCTCAGATCAGGGGCTCAAGTGTTTTTAAGTATGGGAACTTGAGGAGATCCGCTCAAACAACGAGGCTTCTTGATCTCACGAAACAAGATCAACTCTCTGCATGAAGATACAGAAAGTCAAGGCGAGTCTACGGGAGTCGTGACGAAATTACACAGAATTAGCTTAATCTAATCAACGCGTAGTGTATTCTTTTTCGGGCCCCGCTGGTCCCCCTGTCGTATTCGCGTATTCGGGAATGGCCAGTTGTGTCAGGTCAATTGACGAATTAGAGCTTGGATTCGTCGGAGGTGGTTTCACTAACACGACGGAAGTCGGCAATAGATTTGTTCGGGCAATAAATATCTGACTTGCGTATTGAAATAAAGTTCTTATCTCTTACTTGAGGTTGGCATACGCAACTCGTCATCTTGTAGCTTTTGACCAAAGTTCAGACTGTCTTATAAGTCCAAACAGATCGGTACATCTACAAGCTTCAAGGCACAAAAGTCCATGATGCTACCGGACAAATACTTGTCCCGATATTGGAGAGTGTCCTCTCTCAAAGGGGCCAATCATCAGCCACGCATACCGCCACAGATCTCAAGCCCCATGTGCTTGACAAGTAATTCTCCGGTCAAGGGGTGTAGAGCCTAGGGGAGGAAAGAAAACTCAGGACCTCGACCCTAAGCGATGAAAATATTAGGTAAATTTAGCCTAAGTTTAGGTGACTCTTTGCTAAGTTTATTTTGACACCTGGCTCTATAGCTTGGTGTTTTCTTACCCCCTGAGGGAGAGCCAGGCAGGCATGGAAGGCAAGGGCGGGTTTTACTATTTGTGGAAAAGACAGTTTGAGGTTTTGGGGATTGCAACAGAAGCCCACCTCCAGGCCCCAGGGGACCACAACGCGTAATCAGGGAGAATCACATACATCATCTCCATCTGAGGACCATCTCCATCGCCAAAACCCCTCGCGACCCGGGCCCTGAAACTATATTGTTTGTGTCTGTCTTCTCTGTGAAGTTATTCCGCTTACTCACCTCCACTGTCCCTTCATTATCTGCCCCTTTTTTGGTGACCATTGTTTTTGATGATAGGCTCTATCGCAAGCATATAGCTCCGATCGACCAGACAGTAGATCTGTCCCGACGTCCAGTCCATTATATTCAATTCGTCTCGGCTTCAACACTTCATCGATCCGATATTCTCATACGGTTTCGAAACGATATTCATCGAGTCCGTCACGATGCGCTTCCAAACGTTACCCTTCGCTTTATCGTTACTCGGTTCCGCGAGCGCTCAAGTCGCAGAGCAACCAACAACCACGATCCAAGTCCCACAATGCACAGCGACTTCACATACCGGCATGGGCGGCTTCTTCGATCTACGGCCAGACATGGCTGTCGTGCCCGATGAGAACACAAAGAAGTACGCCGTGACCAAGGACTACTTCTCAAAGGGCTACGACTACGGCAAGAACTTCACATTAAACATCTGCGGTCCTGTCGTGGAGTCAGTCACAAACGTCGTTGGTGTCGAGCCGCCTCTGTGGCAGAACGTGAGCGCTTATTACATGGTGGGAGGCGAGGTCTTCTCGATAGGGTTGGTTTGAACATGCACAACTTGGTGCACTGCGCCGGAAGGAATGCGCCAGCTAACACAGAGGCAGTTTCGAGTCAATGGACTTACAGAGCCGTGGTCGCAAGCTGGTACTCCAATACACGGGTGGCTCTCCCTGCGGCGCCGACGTCAACAAGACAATGCCTATCTACGAACGATCCGCTCAGCGCGACTCGCCCCTCGAGGATGAAGAGGACGTGACGGCTTACACGCCCGTTCCGGAACCCGAGGAGCCCACAGAGGAGGAACCCAAGCCCAAGGACAAGCGAAGACGCAAGTCGACGACCATTTCGTTCCACTGCGACAGAGACCCAACCACGACCTCTGCCAGTGTCTCCTTTGTCGGCACGGACCCAGACGAGTGCGCCTATTTCTTCGAGGTCCGGTCCTCGCACGCATGCGCCCACGCAGAGCCGCACAAGCCCGGTAGCGTCGGACCCGGCAGCATCTTCGGACTCATCGTGGTGATCGCGGTGCTCGTGTACTTCCTCGGCGGCATCTTCTACAACCGAACGGTGACCCATGCGCGCGGCTGGCGACAACTCCCCAACTACAGCTTATGGGCGGGAATCTGGAGCTTCATCTGCGTGCGTCGTCCCCTCCCCGGCTCCAAGCCCGAGCGATACTCTCCCTGAGTTTTATTTCTTGTTTCTCTCTTGTTTTTGTTTAGTTTTGCTCCCGTCATCATTTTGTTTTTATATATATAAAAGAAACTGGGGGCTGACAGGTGAGGTTTTCTCTTTTGGTTTTATAGGAACTTTGTTTTTGCTGCTTCACGGCTTGTCTGAGACGACTTACCGTTCGACGTGGCTACCAACAAGTGCACTCGAGTCCGAGTCGGAGAGAGCAGGATAGAGATGCCGAGAATCGGTTGATTGACCAACTAGATGAGGAGTGGGAAGATTGAGTGTAGAGGAGGAGGATCATAGATGCGTGGTGTTTACTTTGTCATTTGGTGTTGTTGTCTTGGGGCCTGGATTGGGCTCGCATATTTAGAATGGACATGATCGGAGTTTTAGGGGCACGATAATGGTCACGCGTTGTACTGGGCTTACAATTGTTCGGTACTTAAAAAACATGTCAAAGCTGATCAATTCTCTATGTGTCTCTTATGTGATGTATGTATGTGATGTGATGTGGCTTTTGAGTGCCATCAGTCTTCATTGTGCAAATGTCTACCCTGCACCATTACACAAACCTCTCGGCCGAGTCTTATCAGTGCCTCAAGCCATCCACAGTGTCGGGTACCTTGGAATAGACAGTTTCCCAATTAGGAGCATGTACTCCGTGCTCCTTCAAAGTATGGACTGTCAATGCAAAGTCTTGCAGTAGGCTAATGGTGTTCGCACGTTTGCTTCTCGAGCTGCGAACTAAGAGCTAAGCAGCCACACACACGCTGTAAAGCACCTATCATATCCCTCCAACACACCTAAAAGTAACCTTAGGACACAGGTCCAAGCTAAAGACTTTTTCTTTAAGGTAAAGACGGTGTGAGCGGTACGGCCCATGCCTAGACGTTGCTAACCAAGGACATCTTGTCCGTATTCTTTCCACGTTTCTGGAGCCAAAGTTAGGAGAAAACGCCACGCAGGAAATAGGGAGGCAGATCAAAGCCACATTCATGTAGCTGATGCCATTTTGGGGCAAAACGTGTGGGTTTGGACAAACATGCAGTCGCCCAATTGTCGTTGACGAGATACACAAAAGGAGATTTGAGGGGGGGACAAGATGGTTCGTGGGTTGGTTAGTTCAGGGGCGCACGTGTTGAGAGGACGTTTGTAGCGACTGCAGAAGAGAGACAGAATGAAGCCATCGCCAACGCCAATTCGTGGCTCATCAACACCATTACAATGTGGCTTGAATGAGCAAGATACCTACCTACCTACGTACAGCTGCGACTGCGACAAATGGTCCCCGCTGAAAACGAGGCTGGCTAATGCAATGAAACATTGATCGGATCTCAGATCAACACGAGGTATCCGTAGATCTTCAAAAGCCCACCAAACGGGGAAACGAACCGGAAGCGCCGTTCGTTTCAATGGCCGTGGCCATGACCATGGTATGACATGGCATGGCATGACGCTCGCTCGCTTCATGCATAATACATATCGAATATGACCTGTTCTCGGAGATATTAAAAAGTAAAATCTCAAATCTCAACTTTTGTCCATCGACCCGGCCCCCGGGTGTCGGTTCGATCCTGATATGCACGCAAGACAAGATAAAAACGGGCTGAGAATGCAAGACAATCCAAGTCCAGCTAGCCACTTGCTCAGAAAAGAAAGACACCCCTGCAAGCCTTGTTTCCTCCCAACGGCTCTGGCACTTTTCTCTCTCTCACAACGGTCGGTCGTTGTCTCGGCCCCTGAAACCGAAAGCCCGGCAACAAATGTTTACAAAAATGTTTTGATGGGGATGCACAGCAGGTATTATATGCGATGCATTGCGGAATAATACACGCGTTCTTGATCAAGTGATTCCATGTAATGTGTATGTAATGTACCTCCCAGCAAAAAAGTACGAGAAACAGGGTTCCTTGTAATTGACGAATTGTCTGTCTGCGGAAAGCATTCCACCTGCGCAAAAAGAAACGTGAGTGACAGACAGCTTTTGCCGAGAATCCTCCTTGCATAAGGGACCCTCCTCCTTTCGCATTGTTTCCCCGAGAAAAGAAGAACAAGAGAAGAAGAGGAAGCCAGAAGTAGCAAGGAAAAAAACCCAACTTTACTCCTTTCAGTCGAACCGGCGTCAGCGTGCGATAGTCTTCCCGTGACGTTCTCACCAATGCATGTCTATCGCGCCGTGTGTGGAGACGTAAGAGGTCCTCGAGTGCGTCATGTAAGGTATGTATATATGTATATATGTATATGTATATGTATGTCGCTGGTTCGTGCAGCATGGCGGCCTCGAGATAGCCGATGAGATGAGGCGAACTAAGGGGATCTTCGAACTTGGTCTTGAGGCTTCGGTCGGGAGTATGTTATATTGTTATGGCGAGATAGTTCGTCATTTCCGTGGCGTTCATTTCCTGAAATGGGAACCTCGATCTTCTGCAAACAAGAATCTGTAGCCCGTCAGCCCGTTGAACTCTCCTCCAATCTCGTCTCTGTCGAGTCTTCCCGAAGCCGACATTACATTACCAAGTTTGATCATCATCTCTAGTCGCCCTTATGATCGTCGTATTTCCCAAAATCGATATCTGTATCTGGTCTGTTCGCCGTAGTTCCCGAAGATCCAAACTCAAGCCAAGTTTGAAGTTGCATCTCATCACATGGCTTGAGCCACACACACACACACACACAC